AGAGGGTTGCTGTTGCAGAGGGACAGAGATCAAAGATATATACATTGGGTTCATTCAGTTCAATTCAATGTATATGTTACAGTGAAAGTCGGAAATTCAGTGATTGTTAACATTCACTAGGAAATGCTAGCAATTACGCATTGGACCGGCGAATGTGGTATTTTAAAGAGATTTATCGACTTTTCCTAGTAATTTCTAAAATTCACTAGTGAAAGTAACATTTACTAAAAGTTGCCAGTAAAATTTATTCTATTGTACTGGGCGAGTATGGTGAGGAAGAATGTTGGTGGAAGTTAGAACAAATAAAAATTTTAAGAATATTTGATCTGCAACATTTAAATTTCATACAATGCCTGAATTCATTAGTAATTTATAGAATACCTAGGTTTTATACAGAATGTCTTAATTTTATACTTTGCTAAGAACATAGACACTTTCAACCATTCCGACTCGGCTTAAGTTGGCCTGAAATAAAAACGAGAAACAGTTCCCTGGTAATAACCGACTCGCACCTCTAAAACCGTGAAAAGTAGAAATAATCGGGGTGGGAACGAAACCCTCCCGGTGGTGCACGCCCCTGGCCCGTCTGGAATACGATCCCGTCGCCATGACGACGGTCGACGATCCCCTCACGTCTCGCCTGACACCTCACACCCACGCCAGCGACTGCAACACACGCCGCGAGGCGCTCCTTCCTGAGGGAAAATCCGGGATGGAAGATGGAATTGTCCCGTTTCGGTTCAGGAAAAGGCAGACCGACATGTTTGGTATTTTTTGCGGGGGTGGTATTAGTTCATTGGCCCCAAATATCTCCACTTTAATTTCTAAATTTAATAAACTACTATTTGTTTGAAAAATGTTAGAATATAAAACAAATAGACACGGTATGGATCAATTATTTCGTGTAATTTAAAAGGGATATTCTCAAGAGGCTTGTTTCAATTTTTTCACCCCATTTTAAAGGTGTGGTGGGTCCGTCATAACGGCCATTACCATTACTTATCACGTGTCGTACTTCTGTTCACGTGTGTGTTTGTCCAGTCCATTGAATGCACGAGAGTTGAGACTTAATGAGGGTAGAGGGTTGTTTCCAACCACACCTAAAGTGGACTTTAGTAGGGTGGTGTGTCATCGAACAACAAAGGGTTTTCTTGGAATCGATATTTATACGCCTACCATGACATCGTTTTCTTTCGAATACTCAATATTATTTTTTATATTTAAAGGTTATCTAGAAAAAAAGCTATTCTTAAGATTATATTTTGAGATTCTAATGAGATGAAACAGTTAAAGAACCGATGGTTGAGAATCAGGTAAGTCAAATAAAACTTTTTTTGTTCTGTTACCGTAGAGAAGCCGCTAAGTGGCTATGTTTAAATTAAATAGCTGGCTTGTGCAAAATGTGCTCGCCAGATGTCACAGAGGCTTGGGAAGTAAGTCAACCGAGACCCGAAACACCAGTTCATTTCGTAAAATGTAAATTATATTAAAAGAAAAGTATATAAATACGTTTTGTTGGAAATATATTAACATGTCTGTTTAGTGAGTTTTTTAGATTTATTGAAATTGAACTGAAATACCATGGAAATTTTGCTCCACAAGATAAGTTTTTAAATTTCCCAGTTGACGAATCAAAGTTGTTTTCATGACTACAGATGAAAGATAGAAAAGTAAAGTAAAGATTTCAGTTAACGGGGGGTCTCCTTTTTGCTGCCAGGGCTAATCTGGACGGGACCTACTTTGTTTACGCGGAATCCGAACCGCGGTCCTCGGCCATATCATGGTCAAAGGCCTACCGACTTAGGAAGTGTCTAAATCAACTCTTACTCACGAGATATCCGATCTCATCCGGACTCGAACCGGCGTGAATGAGCAGTGTGTATCAATAGATTTTACACTTTTCCCTTGAACAACAGCACAATACAGAGTTTCGAACCGGTCACCCGTTCATCCACCAGTATCGCCGGACGTCGCTTAACTTCGGTGTTCTAATGGGAACCGGTGTTTCAACGTAGCTAGGCCGTTGCATGAAATATAGAGATCAAACCGTTTTTTAAAAATTTCACAGGTAAAAAAGTGACAGACATAATTGAATAACACAGCAGCTCTTACAATACATTATACAAATATGTTTTTTATATCTACTGAGATGACCCGCCTATTTAAAAATTAATATATTTCTTTAAATTCAAGACAGTTTTAAAACACTCTGTACACATAAATAATTATTGATTTTTAAAATATGATTCATAAACTAGGGAGAGAGAAATCAGAGGTGATAGGTGTTAGGTAATAGCTTTTAGACTACCATTCGAGACGTTGATGTTATTTTGGTTATTGTGACAAAAGAATGTTATTAAAGGTAACGTAAATGTTTCCTCATTATTTAACTAGTGTTAACTATACCTAGTATTTTGTTTTCCTGTTGTAATATTGTGTTTTAAAGTTTTTTCTTATTTATTTCATCTGAGAATTGTATTATATACCTAACATGTGTATGTATTTAATGGTTTCGATTTATGCTGTGAGTCATTTCTAGCGCAAAATTAAATCTAAATGCAATCGTTTACTGCCCATTCGTGCCGATGTTTTTGGTTCAGTATGACACAGAGTGACAATAAGGGCCTTGTTGTGGGTACTAATAATTTCTAACCGTGCCTGGGCAAACATCTTAGCAAACAAGTGAGCAGCCAAAGCCAAAGAATGGTATAACTCGTAGTCTCCCGAATTCAGGGACTCAGTACCTACAGGTGGGGGCCGCTAACTAACAAAACCTCTTCAGTTAAGAATGTTAAGTGTGTTAACCTTCAAACCTCAGCATTAGTTGGATTCTTTGGAATAGTAGGTTTTCTCTGCCGTACTCTTTTACTTGTGAATTCCAGGCAGAGTACGGCACTCCATTCATTTAATTTAATAAAATAAGTAGGACTATTTACAAATTTAGCGTTTGCTTTACATAACTTAGTCTCCGGTAAGTCACAATAAAAGATATTTTTAACACCACGTAGGGTCCTTTATTTCGTTTAAACTTTTTGGTATACAGTTCGCCAAAATATTACCTCTTCAACTTTGTGGAACGACCCTGGATATGTACATACACCTACACTACATTATTATTTGCTTATAATTATTACGCAAACAAATTCCAATTAAATGAAGTTATTAGGAAGCTTTCTGAATGAAAGCTGAAAAATGTAAAGTTCTAATTGGTTAACTAATTAGTTTTTGCTTTTTGTGGGATTCTACTCAAAGTCCTTATAAACTGATATAAGCGCAGCTGAAACACGCAGGAAGATCAATGTGTTTTCAAAAAAAAAACTCAAAACTTAAGCAACTATATAAATTTTTACATCTCTAATGCATTTTAACGGCAAAATGTGCTCGCTGTCGATCTATTTTCTACTCAAAATAATTGCGTAGACGCGAGACAAGTTGCTGATTCGAACTATTTATAATCTTTAAATCTAATTATAAATGTTTTCAACTAATAGTACTGCAAAATATGGCAAATTGCATGCGACAGTTGTATTAATAATTTTAGAGGTCCTCTACATTAACTTTTCTGAGATAAAAATGGGTATAAAATATAGGCACAACCATAAACTAAAAGAGAGCTTAAAAAATGACATTGTTTTTTTAACTCATCTTTGTTATATGCTGATAATTAACACCATAATTAGTTGGGACATGTCGAAAAAAAAACTTTTCCTTCATCTACTGAAACAGCAATAAAATTACTTCCCACGCTGTTCCAGAACAAGTAGACTCTTTGTTTTAATCCCTTGAAGGAACTGGTGGGTTAACTTTACGTCTTAGACCCTCATAAAGTTAATGATGGGGTTGTTTTCATAGTAGTTATTTATGTATTGAGTAAATTCGTATAATACGGCTCTTTATAACTAAATCTTCTGGTATTATTTCTGTTAAAACAATAAAAAATTCATAAGTGTTCTATTTTATGTAACAGTATAATATACAACTAGGTAGCTTAGGTTTTTACTTTAAAATTATACTTCAGTGGCGTAGGTTTTTGCCTGAAGAATGCTGATAGGACTTAATAATCATTCACTTTTTCTTATACAATTTTGCAAAATAACGCTATTTTGATAAACTATGCAAAAATACTATATTTTTAAAACTCGTTTATTAAAGATGCGTTTTTTTTTCGTCTACACAATGTTTTACTTAATATGTTTTGACTGAACAGGTAAAACTTTATGATGTTGCCTTACCAAAAATATTAGCAGAAAATTCACCTAAAAAAGTACATTGTACAAAATTTACCCACTAAACAAATAACGGAACTTGGTAAATAGCCCTGTTATTAATTTTATGAGGGCTTAAGACGTAAAATTAACACACACTGGGTTTCATAAAGCCATTAAAAAACAAAAGGGACTGCTTGTTCTTGGGCAGCGTGAGAAACACTTTTACTGCTGTTGGGGAACATGAACAAAAAGTATGTTTGCTTTTTTCGGCTAATCCCAAGCTAATTAAGATGTTAATTGACGAAATGCACGAAAACGATTAACTAGAGAAACTTTGTCTATATGTTGACTTTTAGTGATCCCCATCATGGGTTTATAAAGTTTTCTCTTGATATTTATTGTTTTAATATCCAAAATAGAGAAATAGATATTTTTTCATTACAATATATATAAGGGGTTGTCCATTAATTATGTAGTTATTAATTATTTGATCAAGCCGAATCTCACTAAATCTCACGAAGAGAGGGAGTTTCGGCAAATATCACGTAATTTTAAACAATCTCAAATATTAGTCTGAATAAAAATAATAAAGAAAATTGTATTTTTTAAATCCAGCGCATTTATACTAAAAATACAAATTTCGAAAGATCTCACGTGAGATTGGAAACTATCGAGATACATCTTACATCTCACCAGAGGGGGAGGGGTAATTCATGGGCGCCTCCTATGGTAATAATCACCGACAAAGCAATTTATTTCAATACTGTAACGTATGTTTTTTTTCCTTTCCAGAATGTTGATCACAAAATGAAGTACCGGTCGAAAAAGGGCTTGTTGCCCTTCATCGAACTGAACGGCGAAGAAATCGCAGACAGCGCCCTCATCATCAAAGAGTTGAGTCAGAAATTCAGCAACGATCTGGATGCTGCTCTGACAGCTGAACAACGGAACCTCGCTCACGCTACCATCAGTATGATCGAAAATCATCTTGCCTGGGTTGTCATGTGGTAAGTAAAACATCTACATTCTACATATAGGGTTTACGGAGAATCCCCTCTTATGGGTCTTTGTTTGAAAAAGTGGTCATCTAAAGGTGCCATTTCCTAGCGACGTCTGGCGCCCGCGTTTCGCCGCACACTGGTTCGTTTTTACGAACGTACGTGGCTAAAACCTGTATCAATGAAAAGTAATGAATCACTTTATAGGGAAACGAACCAGTGCGCGGCTAGCTAGGAAATAACGTAAAAGTGAAATTAATAAATATTATAGTTTTAATAAATAGAAATGTGAAAATATTCGTCAACTGATTGCCCATTGGGAAAAAGCTGTCAGTCAGACAACTGAAAATTCTGTGCGCCGTGCATTCTTGCTCTGACTGAAGTCTTACCTCCACTACACGCAGCTGATTGTTATTATTATATTTCTATTACGGGATGAAATAATTTGAATTTCATATTTTTTCACAAGTTCAGGCGCTCGATTGCCGTATTTTCCGAGTAGGTTAGGTAACGATAAGCCTGCATAACTTTTTAGATAACTTAATGGTACTCTTCCGATTTATAGCACAGACAGAATAATAGGTTAAGTACCATGTTTTTTATTAGTTCTGTTATCAGAGTTAGGTATTTTTCTATTATAATGAGTTAAACGATTTTTTATTCAATATTAGATTTGTTTTTATTCCTTTTGTATTAGAGATACTTTTTATTAAATAATTGAAGACTTTTTCTTTTTTTTATTGAAAACACCTTCTCACCAAACATTTTAAAACAGAGTCTTAAATGTGGTTTAAACACCTCTTTTTAAAAAAAAATGTTTAAAACATAACAACCCTGTTTACATGGTTTTACCATACTACAACCTGTGTAATTGTATTTGTTATTATAGGTGGCGTTCTAAATACCCAGATAGCGTCCTCAAGGGCTACAAAGTAAACCTCCAGCATGCGCTAGGCACCAGGATACCCAACGGAATTCTCAATTTCTTCTTCAAATTCGCTTATGGAAGAAAGGTAATGTAAACATAATATATTTTGGGGTATTGGAGCAGATACAATAGGTATTATTATTCAAAAAACAAATGCATGTTAGGTTTTGGGATGTATAGCAGTTGTTGGTTTTTTACTAGATCGTTTATAGAAAAAGAATTTGTTTTGGGGGATTTTTTTCTATGTATGGGTATCTATTAATAGTGATATCATTAAATAGTTCAATTTTTAGTAAAATTTTTGATAGTTTGGTATGTTTTTTTAATCTGCATGCTCAGTTCACAGTTTCTTTCTAAAACTACTTTCGTTGGTGTATGTCCCTTTCAGTTCTATCAAACCTTCATGGCTGGAGGCTAGTCCATATATGAGTGGAATTTTTGAAATACTTTTTTTATTGACTTGCTTCATTACGAATATCAAACATAAACTTAACATGTAAAACAACATAAAGCGTGCAAAAACACAAACTTATAGATATTATCCAATAAAAATAAATAAATAATAATTATGAAAAAATCAATCGGTAAAACATTGATTACAGAACATTATTAACCTCGAATGGAAATCTAGACACTCGAAGAAATTTTTCTCCTGAGAAATGTCCTAGTCCTGACTTACTATCGGGAAAAATCAAAGATTTTTCTTGATTTAAATAAGAACAATATACGGATTGCCACGAGATTTTTAACAGGTCACACTGTCTCCTCAATGAACACCTCAGTAGATTGAAGATAACAACTGCGACTGCAGATTCTATGGGGAAACTCCAGAGCACCTAATCATTGAGTGGACCCAAATACGTTTAAAATAAACGTATTTGAGTGGACCGAATCGACAACCATTCGTGCTATAAACTTTGGTACTTTCGGAAAGAGATAGAGGAAAAAAGTGGTAGACTGGTCACAATTGAGTAACTCAGAAAGTTATTTAAATAATTCCTTAGTCACCTTGCTAGCTAAATTTTGTTTTTAAACACCGATGTTCGACTTACAATGAATGCATTTCTTATAACTTTTCTTGAATTTTCAAACTATCAATAATTTTACTTAGAAAAGAGTCTCTAAAATCATAACCAACAATTCGATATAAGGGTGATACTGAAGGATTTGTTTCTCTAATGTTTAAAGCATGTTATCTTCCAGTGTTTTGTGTTATTAGTGGCGTTTTAACTTAAAATTGAGAATTTAGTGGTTCCAGGGGACCAAAAAGGCAAAGGCCCACGGGATCGGCGTCCACACTCCAGAGGAAATTGTCCAATTCGGTCAGGAAGACTTGAAAGTCCTGTCGGACATGTTGGCGGATAAGCCGTTCTTCTTTGGAGACGAACCAACCAATGTAAGTACCTATTTTATGTTACATCTGTCATCATACAAATGTAAGTATAATCACAATGTATAAAAAAATTCAATTAGGCCTCTTTTGAAATGCCACTTTCACAGAAATGCTTTAGAAAAGTTTGATGCCTATGTAAACACTTTTCAGTTTTTTTTCTTTCTTTTTTCTGAATAGAAACAATAGTTTCACAACAAAGAAACCATTTGAAAGAAAATAAATAAAAGAGACATAAAAAAAGGTCCACAGAAACGTTTAAAAAAGTTAAAGGGCTACAAAAACTCGTTAAAACAGTTTGTGGGCCGCTTAAACCCTTTAAAATAGTTAACGTACCTAAACCCTTTAAAATAGTTAAACCAAAAGAGCCTTTGAAAAGTTTCATGGTCTGTAAAACAGTTTGGGGGTCACAGAAACTCTTTAAAATAGTTTAAAAGTCACAAAAACTTTAAAAAAAATTAAAGACTCCTAACCTAACCCAACTTTAACACCGTTTGAGGGTCACAGAATCCTTCCGAAACTTTCAGACATAAGAAACCCTTTTAAAGATTCCAATGTCCCAGATATTGCTTTTTGGAGACCACAGAAGCTTTTAAAATAGTTTGAGAATTGTAGAAACTCTTTAAAACAGCTTAATGACCATTCCAATCTCTTCAAAACAGGTTGATAAAACAGTTTTTTATGGATCACAGAAACTCTTTAAATAGTTTGGATCACAGAACACTTTTAAAAATTTGAAGTCCACAGAAACTTTTACAACAGTTTGGGTATTACAGAAACTCTTTTAAACAGTTTCAGGGTCGTAAAACCCTTTAAAATAGTTTGAAAGCCACAGAAAGATTTACGAAACCACAGAAACCGTTTAAGGGTCCCAAAATCTTTAAAATACTCTATGATCGAAAAAAACGCGTCTAGTTTGGAAAAAACCTTCAATGGCATTTGGCATGTAGTTTAAGATGACACCGATTGTGATAGATGTGTTACAAGATGACACCGATTTTAATTTCAAAGCCACCTCTGAGACTTTTTTTTGATTGTATGGTAGTTTGAGGACCAGAGAAGTCCTTCAAGAAGCTTGAGGGCCATAGAAACTCCTTAAAACAGTTTGAGGGTCGTAGAAACACCTTTAAAACGTTTAAGGGCCACAGAAACTTTTTAAAAACGTTTTAAAACCACCGAATCACAACGGGTCTTTACAAAAGAATTATTGTAGTTATAAAACTAAATTAAAGTAATTTTTTCAGCTTGATGTTGTAGTGTTTGCCCACTTGGCTCAAATTTATTTCATCGACAAGGAAGTGGAGTGGGCCCTTCGAGACTACATGACTGAATCGTGCCCCAACTTAGTAGGACACGTCAATAGGATGAAGGAACGTTGTTTTGCCGATTGGGACGATATTTGCAGGTAAAACATGATCATAAATCTAATGTATATATTTGAGCTGAATAATAGCTGAATTTTGAACTTAAAAATTAAAAACATATTCTGTAATTAAGCCGGTCCCACACAATGTGTCAAACACCTTTTAACTTTGGACACATGAACATTTGCACATGGTGTAGGAGACACACTTGTGAATTGCAATATTGTCGAAGCCTATGCCAAATGATGCATCCAACTTTGATTCCAACGTTGGAAACATCGTGTAGGACTGGCTTTAGTATTTTACAGATAAAAATACAAAATATCGTTTTTTCAGCACGCTGGATTTGAATTCGCACCTTCCCAAACCCGTGCCTGAAGCCAAGGACGACAAAGAGGTCGCCAAGGACGAGAAGGAGAGCGACAAAGAAAAAGAACCAGAGGATAAGGATATTGAAAAAGAAAAGGTATAGTAATATAACTTACTACCCTTGTTTATATATTAACTAGTTATTCAGCGTGAATTAGTTCTGGAAGAACTAACCCCCTCACGCTCAAGAACGGTAAACTAATTAGAATTATTAACTTAATAAGTGTACCGTTCCTGCGATTGTTAGCGATTATTCACTTAATTAGAAATTCAGAATTTGAAAGACCCGCGATGCAATTCTCGTAGCCATCTATCAGTGAACTCCCAGAACTAACTCACACTGAATAACTAGTTAATATATAAACAACTTTGATAAACAAGGATACTACATATTAACCTAATTGTAAACTTTTTGACACGCTTTGTATTAACTATTTTGTGATTTTTTCATACAGGAGGAGGCGAAAGAGAAGGACAAAGCTGCAAACAAGGAGCCCGAAGAAAATAAAGAAAAAGAAGCAGCAAAGTAAAATAATAAGGGTTCTTGACACAACACCAACAAGACTTTTATCTTTTTCCATCCTAAACTTCATAATCTTCTTCACTTTTTTTTTAAATACTTAATAGCCCTCGTATACATATATAGAAATGAATCAGTGCAAGTTTTTAGTTTCTAAGTATATTTCATTTTTTTTATTATTTCCCAAACGTATTTAGCAATTAATTGTCACAGATCATCAAAGTTTGTGTTTTTTTTAATTTGTAGTCTATCGTCCTTTTTTCTGTTTGTTAAATATTAAAACGATTTTATTCAACTCATAAACACACGCAACAATTTTTTTTTCAAATAAAAAAATACTCGGCGTAATTCATTTTAGCTTCTTTTTTACGTAATTTTTTGATATAATGGACAGTTTTTATCGAAAATAAACAAAAAAAATTATATAGTAACTGCTAGTTAAGCATTATATTAATTATTGTTTGTATAAATATTTTAGCTAGGTTTTAATATAAATGTAAGCATGTGTCTGACAGGGAAACTTTGGACGGCTCAATACCCGATTCTCGAACAATCTCACCATTTTGTTTATCTCAAATTTGATTAAATAATTATCTTTCGGCCGTAGAAAGTTTTTTCTCTACCCCTGTATTACTCAGAGTGCAAAAATAACTTTTTTTTGCTTGCTGATTGGTCCTGGGGAACGTGAGTTTACATGTTAGTCCAGTCTTGTAACGTGGAATCGAAGATGCAATACGGAAACTCTGGTTTTTGATTCTTAAAATCTGGGATGGGCTGTTAAAAAACCATAGCGTAAAATTTTCTTTTGCGCGTAAAAATTTTTATTCACTTTAATACCTTATTTAGTTTTTTTGTCTATTATTATTAGTGTAAAAAGTTGTTTTTTACGGGTAAAGAACTATTTTTTACTCCAATAAACTACCCTATAAAAACTAGAAAACTTAAAAATACTTAATCCATAAAAATTTACTCGTAAAAATATATTGTTTAGAAAATAAGTAAAGTTTTGATGGATTTTTTTACGTTTAATAGTTTTTTTGTGGAGTAGAGTATTAGCGTAAAAAATTGTTTTTTACGTCTTGAAAAACTATTTTTTACGCTAATAAACTACTCCATAAACCATAACTAAAAATCTATTTAGTTTTTATGCGCGAAATAAATAGTTTTTGTACGTGAAAAAAATAGTTTTTTTTAAAAAACTTAAAAAGCCTACTCCATAAAAATCTATTTAATCTATTTTTTACGTCGTTTTACGGTTTTTAACAGCCCATCCTTGATTTGAAGACATCCAAAACCGGTGCTGTTTGTAAAGTAATCTTGATTCAACGCTTTTATTACTGTATGTACGATAAACTAATATTTAACGTATCCCCCCTAATAATTAAGTAGTGCATTTACTCATCAATTGTATCCATTCCACATTTTTAAACAAATACGCATTTTTCATAAAATAAAATCGGTTAGAGGGTATACATTTATTTCATATTCATCAATTTTTTAGCTGAAAAAATCAAATCAATAATTTTTTATTATGACTCTCTCTGACCATTGAATATTTTTAAATGGCTTTTGAAAAGGTTTTTTAAAATGATAAATGACGTTTAGGTCGTAATCATAGACTTTTGTATTTTTTTAACAGGATCATTTACAATTTTTTATGACCAGTTTTACTCTTTGGATAATAAAAAAAAATAAAATAACTGCGTGTAATTGATGGACCATTTTCTCAAAAAAAATTAAAGGAAAAAATGTTTTACTGATCAAGTTGCACAATTCATTTAAATCAACTTATTTGAATATCGTTTAAAATAGTGAAAAGAAAACGTGTTTTAATTGATCAATTTAATGATCAAAATGCATCAAACGTTTCGCACAAAAACTGTCATTAGACGGGCGCGATCTGATCAGTAAAAAATGAAGCTCAATAGATTGACTAGCATGTTAATTTATAATTTAGAGTCTCATTTTTTTAAAACTAAGATATAAGTTTGATTTAAAACTGTGTTGTACGCTATATAATTTAAATAAATAAGTTCATATTTTAAGTTTAAAGTTAGTGTTTTATTTTGTCCCTGTACAAAAAAATCCCTTGATATACAGGGTTTTTCAAAAGCGGCTCACCCCTATATCTTTTTTATTTTTTCCTGTAAAAAAACGAGATTCGCAGAGAAAACCGTATTCAATTAGTTTTGGTCACTTCCTGTTTCAGTCGAAATGGCTATAATTTGATTTTCGAATTGTACCCTCGGATTTTTTTAAATTTATTTTATAGATAATGGCAAATACAGAAAGACTTATCAACTCCGAGAAAACCAGATATCAGTTTATTTTTCACAAATTAAAAAAAAAAAGTTAAATAACAAAACATAAAATAAATACAAGAACAATACACAAATATATATTATATGACCGACTAATAAAAAAATATACAAAATTTAACCTTTTTTTACTTAGGAACTTTCTACTCAGATAATCCTAATATTTTTATTAAAAAAGAACAAGCCAATACCGCACTAATGAAAGTATTGGGTACTTTAGGGAGTGGAGTGTGCCATAAAGTACTGGGTACTTTATGGCACACACTGTATAAAAACTGAAATCTAATAATATACAAGCGTGTTTCGAAAAAATATAGTTATAATAATTATATTTTTAGATATAGTTATATTTTTAAAGAGATATTAGTCTTTCTCACAGATTAAAAAGATCGTTTAATAATATAAAATAAATACAAAAAACAATATACAAACATATATGACGGAGTTAATAAAAAATATAAAATATTTAACGTTTTTTAACTTACATTTACTCGGATAATTCCAATATTTTTATTAGTGAAGAGCAAGCGAATACTGCATTGGTAAAAGTGTTTGGTCTGGCATAATCCAGACCCCATTTGGCATCCCTTGTTGGCAATTGTGTATTTTCCAGTGGGCCAAATACTGAAGGTACGCTCGCAAGCCTCTTAGTTTTCAAAACCATGCTTTCCTTACGGTGAACCAGGGTTTGTATTTTCGAAAACCGTTGTCGAATGTTGGGTAAATTTTGAATAACCTGAAAAAAAGGATAAACATTGCATTATAAGCTTGGTGCATTTCAACCGATCGATGTTTTAAAACTCCGACAGCAGTGCTTGGTACGGCAGAAATTAGAATTGCCGGCCACTTTATTTCACGCTGTCCCGGTTACCGTTCATTTTGATCGCGTTTAAATAATATTGGAATCGTCGCTATGTCATAATATTTAAGTATTTTGATTTTTACTAGTGCAGTTGAAACTATAAACTTCACAGGTACGAAATTTGTGTGATGTAACGCTGTTTCAATTAGTAAAAATTAGGTGAAAAATAACCCGAACTGAGCGTCGCGTTGTGTTGTGAAAATTTCAAATGATAATAAAATTGCCGAAAAAATGTTAACACGAAAAGGAGGGCGTAATTCCGGGGTTATTAGGTGCACATTCAATACAAATCTCCTGGAACAAAATTTTTATAGCTTTCTCGCAGTGATTTGATCAAAAGCAAAAATGGATTCAGGCAGTTCGACGAAACAAATTAGTTAGTACTCGTTACATAATTAAAAAATTAAATAGGCATATAGGAGGATAAAATATAATTTGATTAATATTAATGGTATACTTTTATTAATCAACTAGTGCATAACTTTTTTATGAACGACTTCTAAAATTATAATTATGTACCTTTAAAAAAATGTCGTTACAGCCCAAATTATGTCCCACTAGCAAAACCGGTGCGTAAAACTATGCCCACTAATTTGCTGAGTTCAACTACGCAGTTGAACTCATGTAAACAGTTTTATTAGCTTGAATAATAACTTACAATACAAGTTAGACCTTCTGAAAATATCAAAATATTTAGCTTTTCATTTTTTTAGAATTTCCAAAAATTATACCTGCCAAACACTTTCAGAATAATTATATAACAATTTTTTAATGTTACTCGCTATTTAAATCCGTGTATTTGTTTAAGTCGGCTGTTTACGGTATTCTCCAATGTGACAGTACCAGAGGAGAATGCACCAAGCCTATATTGTGATAAAAACAAATCCATGTAAATACCTTTTTCCAAGGCTCTTCATGGGCAAACAGCCACAACAAAGTACACAGTGTCGAAAATAAAGGTGCTTCCTTATCGCACCAATGCAACAGCACGTTGATCATTGGATCTAGATACTCCGGATCCCAGCTGTGCGATCTAGTCTCTTTGTACTTGTAGAAGTTGATCAGGATGAACGTTGCCATGTTGCACGCGATCATCTCCGGGCGAGATCTAGCTGCTGAGGCTATTATGATGTAGAGCTGGTTGGGAAGCAGGAAACTCATACTTATACAGATGTTCTGGCAATGTCTCGTAATAAAATCTGTAATAAATTACAGATAGATTGTACAATACAAATACAAACAAAAGATTGTACAATTATTACAGAGAGATGTAATTAGACTTGTCAAATCATATGTCATCTTTGGTCTGTATTTATTAATAACTGGGTTAGTTTTTATTAGTATCTTATTATTACAGTTGAAGGGTCCAGGGGAAAACCTGATAAGCGCCATTTTTCTAATTTTACAGGAGAGCATTGGACGGTTGGTGGTTAGACAGTTTCTTTTTATAAGATACTTAATGAATTGGCAACATGGCACAGTTATATATAGGCGGCTTTCAAAATGTTCGATATTTCATTAATAGAGTACACATGGTGTCCCATTTTCGTGTGTTTTATGGGGTTTCTTATTTATGAGTAGAGATGCAAAGATGCGGTTTACAAAAATTAACTATTTTATTTTATAGATTTTCTTACAGTGCAAGTGGAGAAAGACACAGAAGACTTTTTCAAGAAAATACTTATTCTTGAACGACTTGGTATGAGGGCACTATTTTTCCGTCATGTCTGCGGTTCTCAATGAAAACAGAGCGAAAAATATTAGAATAGATCAACAGAATCTAACAAGATAACTAGAATCCTTCACAACACCTTCAAAATGAAAATTATATTCTTTGAACTCCCTGTAGATGACGTACCAAGAATGTACAACTTTAAGAAACATCTCACTGTAGTATTGAGCAATAAAAAGAACGGGAAGAGAGAGACGTTTACTCAGCGGGTAAAAGATGACCACATCATAACGTGGTATACTGATGATTCCAAAACCAAAGCAGGAGCCCTAGTATTTGGGCCGGAAACTAAATACTCCGAACCAATAGACACAAAGGGAACCCTCCAACGGTCTAAGACACTCAAAGAAATTTCTCACAATTTAGGACCAATAGAAATCAAAGATTTTCCTTGATTTAAGTAAGAACAAGCTTCGGATTGACCGGGGGTTTTAATTTAAGGTACTGCCTCCTCAATAAACACCTCAGTGCAGCTAAGAAACAACGGCGAATGCAGATTCTGTGGGGAAAATGGGAAGGCCGAGGGTGCCGAGACGACAACCATTCGCGCCATAAACTTGGGTACGACTGATACTGGAGATGGAGAACTAAACTCTGTAAAAGCGGTGAAACTAAAAACTGGTCACGGTGATTAACTTCCCCCCTTCCACACAATCTACAAATCGTTCAGAAAATTGAATTTTATAAAGGATTGGATACTAGATACTAAAAATTTAATCACACTTTTTTTAACAAAAAATACAAATGAATAATCTCCTACCTAAATCCTCCAGCGCTTTAATGATCATCAGCAAAGACGAATTCTTACTGGTCATACACAACATGGCCATCTCGCATCTTTGACCCAAAGTCTTACCACTCTGTATAGACGGTCTGGGATACTCTGGATTCCCGTTTCGTAATCTTCTGAGTGCTGTCATCACCGGAATGTTGGATTTTCTTACAGAGTAACCCTTCCATGATGCCTAAATTCATGAAAACGTTTTAAAATCTCAACTTTGTACAGGTTGTCCTTTTCGAGTTTTTTACAGGGTTTCTCTCTCTCGTTTGAGTACAGATACAAAATACAAAGATGCGGTTTTCACATCACTGTGATGTGAAAACTTTCTTATGAAACTAAAAATGCTACACACAGATTTGTCATAGCCTTATTTCCTGAAATACAGGGCGAATTTGAAATTGTTGAATTTTTCGACTTCCCTTGCATCTCGGTTATTTTTATAACTTATCGAAAAGGTGTAACCTGAATCTCATAGAGTATTTTACGCAGAAACCAGTGGCGTAACTAGTTTTTCGCTGGGAGCCGTCATTTGAAATATAATTCAAACTTTTTTTTTAAATGGGACACCCTGTATGTATATTTTTAATCTTATTTGTCTTTTCATGAGGTTTCTAAAAATATAATATTGTCACGGATTCCGTGAGTCCTCTAATTCAAAACACACGATAAAATACTTAACGAATTGTTTTCCAACTATATGCCCTATACTAATTATAACCCTTAACACAGAAATATCTATTTGAAGAACCTTCGCCAATTTGGCACAATTCGCTAACTACAGACTATTTCTTCACTAACTATAGACTATATCGCTGCGGATGTTCTTGCAACTTCTATTCTAAAACTCTGTCGAGTTCTTTGGGCTTCCAGAAACTTCCGCTGTCTCGCTCGGGATTTTCCATAAATGTCTAAGAGATGGCGCGCTACTCAATCACCGAAAGATGTCGCCACGCTTCTTTACTATATAAACACGCTTAGTGGTTTTTTGCTCTTCCACAGATGTCGCCATACACCTTGACAATATATTTTATACTTATTTTCATAAGAAAGGTAACGACAGGAAAAAATAAAATTGATTTTCAAAAAAATCCATTTTTTCGAAAAAACTCAGCAATCTTTGAAATTTTTAAAACTTTTTTGATGGCATCTTGGTGAATATCTCAAGGCGCAACTTTGTCCCAATTTATCTATCTTCGTATCTATTACGGTTTCCGAGATACCAATGCTCGTGCCTCGAATTTGTAGTACCCTATATACTCCATACTTATTTTCTTAAATAAGGTAAAAATGCATTATTTAACTTTTCAACATAAATCAACACTAGTTTAAAGGAGTATTATTGTTTTATTTTATTTAATTAAACCTGATAATTTTGCTTTCCATCCTGTTTTCTTAATAAACTGCACTGAAAATGGAACTTTTAAATGCTCTGTTTTGAGCTTTCTAAAAATATAACATACTGTATTTACATACGTACATACTTATTTTCATAAACAAGCTAGAAAAATGCATTATTTAACTTTTTATAGGCGGCTGGTTTAAAATATGTAATCGAAACAATGGAATAATTTATTCGACGTCAAATTTTGGTTATTGGCTATTCCACTCTAGTTTCTCTGTGTATAATTATTTCAGTAACTCTTGAGAGCGTGTTATCTAAAAGCTGCACAAGTTTATTTTAAGTGCAGTTTATTAAGATGGCACGATGGAAAACAAAATTGTTAAATTAAATAAAATGATAACACTTTTAAACTAGTTTTATTTATGTTAAAGGTTACAAAATGCATTTATTTACTTTTTAGAAAATCAAAAAACTAATTCCACATTCTCCTAGCCACTTTATTAGGGTTATCTGATAGTATTTTTAGAATTTCAAATTAGCTGATAATTTGTGAGATACAGGGGCCAACTTATATTTCATGAAGAACTCGGTCTCCTGAGTACAATGATATGCCACCCTCCTTATTGCACAAATTTATTTTTCGTTCAATTTTATTTATATTTCTTGGAACAGATCTTCTCCTTATACTTCCGAATGAATCCCTTTGTAAATACTGAGATGTATTGATTTCACATACACATATTATTTATTTTATATTATTTTTGATTATTTTATTGCATTTGATTTTTCGTATTCAATGTTTTATCCTACGTCATTATTAAGTTTGAAAGCTTATCAATATTGTAACGATGAATAGATTAAATATGTAAAAAACAGAGCCGGACTTGAAATTAGTTTAAATAAATTGTGCTCAAATTTCCGAAACAAAAAAAATATTAAGTGTGGCATATCATTGTACTGAGGAGACCGAGTTCTTTCATAATCCGAAATAAAAAATGCAGGTCCGTATTTAAAAAAAATTAAGTTGGCTTCTGTATCTCACAAATTATCGGCTAATTTGAAAATATAAAAATACTATCAAAAAACCCTAATAAAGTGCCAATGAGAATGTGCAATTTTTTTTTGATTTTCTAAAAAGCAACGACAGAAAAAAATAATTTATTTTCAAAAAAATCCGTTTATTTCCCAAAAACTCAGCAATCCTTGAAATTTTAAAACTTTTTTGATGGCATCTTGGTGAACATCCCAAAGCGCAACTTTGCCCCAATTTAACCATGTTCGTATCTATTACGGTTACCGAGATACCAATGTTCGTACCTCGAATTTGTAGCACCCTGTATTATATTTTTAGGAAGTTCATAAGTTCAAAACACATAAGTATGGGTCATATTTCCAGAATGATAGCTCGCAGCAAAAATCTAGTTACGTCACTGAATTCTACGTGAAAGACTCTATGGGACTCAGTTTTCACCTTTTCGATAAGTTATAAGGTAAATGGAACATTTTCAATTTCGCCCTGTATTTTAGAAACTAATCTGTGTATAGTATCTTTAGTTTAATAAAAAAGTAGTACAGTGATGTGAAAACCGCATCTTTGAATATCTAGTTATACAGAGATATATCTAGTTAAAAAGAGAAATCCTGTAAAACACAAGTACACTCATTTTAATTTACCTGAATTTTAACTGCTGCAGCGTTTTGAACCTTCAAAACCTTCCTGGCTTGAACTGCCTCAGGTAACAGCATGGGACTGTACTTTTTCCTTGCCAAATAACCTCTAGCCAACCTCTGGATTCCCGTCACAGCTTTGTACTTATCCAAAAATGCCAATCGTTCCTGCTTCATCTTCATATAAGCCCTATAAAATACTTGGACAGTCATTACCGATTTTTTGAACATAAGGAACTTTATTCTCATCTCCTTCGATAAGATTGTGGCTTTCCACTTCCTCTGAATGACAAAAGTTGCGTGCCTCAACTTTCTGTACTTCTCCATTTCGTCTCTCATGGCTCTCTGGGCTCTGTACCGACTCTGCAAAACCAAAGCAGCCCATTTTATTCTGGAATACACCTCAACCTGCTTTACCATAGACTTATTAGCTCTATATCTTCTTTGAATCAAAAGAGCAGACTTTCTCAAAGCCTCGTACCTCGATCTCACTGCATTACCTAATTTGATAGCTCTAAATCTTTGCTGAATAATCACCACATCTCTTCTTAACATCTGATAGTAAGTTATTTCTTTTCTCATCGATATTATAGCCCTATACCTTCTTTGTATTACAAGAGCAGCGTTTCTTAGAGCAAGATATCTACTGCGGACTTTATTAGCTCTAAAATGACTCTGAATAAGTATAGCTGTTTTTCTTAGAGCTACATATTGCGTTCTAGCGATACCACCTAGTTTTCTAGCTCTAAATCTTTGCTGAATAATCATTACATCTCTTCTTAACATCTGATAGCAAGTTCTTCCTTTTCTCATCGATATTAGAGCCCTATACCTTCTTTGTATTACAAGAGCAGCGTTTCTTAGAGCAAGATATATACTGCGGACTTTATTAGCTCTAAAATGACTCTGAATAAGTATAGCTGTTTTTCTTAGAGCTACATATTGCGTTCTAGCGATACCACCTAGTTTTCTAGCTCTAAATCTTTGCTGAATAATCATTACATCTCTTCTTAACATCTGATAGTAAGTTCTTTTTTTTCTCATCAGTAATAAAGCCCTATACCTTCTTTGTATTACAAGAGCAGCGTTTCTTAGAGCAAGATATCTACATCGCACTTTATTAGCTCTAAAATGACTCTGAATAAGTATAGCTGTTTTTCTTCGAGCTACATATTGCGTTCTAGCGATACCACCTATTTTTCTAGCTCTAAATCTTTGCTGAATAATCATTACATGTCTTCTTAACATCTGATAGTAAGTTCTTTCCTTTCTCATCAATATCAAAGCCCTATACCTTCTTTGTATTACAAGAGCAGCGTTTCTTAGTGCAAGATATCTACATCGCACTTTATTAGCTCTAAAATGACTCTGAATAAATATAGCTGTTTTTCTTAGAGCTACATATTGCGTTCTAGCGATAATTCCAAGTTTTTTAGCCCTAAATCTTTGTTGAACGGTCATAATTTCTTTGTGCAACTTATCATAGTAACGTTTTTGTTCTCTCATGCATATTTGTGCTCTGAATCTTCTCTGAATGTTTATAACAGCGTTTCTTAAAGCTAAATATTTATTTCTGATCTTGTTCGCTCTATACGACTTCTGAATAAGTAACGCGTTCCGTTTTAGAGCTAGGAATTGGGTTCTTTGAGATGCGCCCAACTTTTTGGCTCTATATTTTTGTTGTATTAATATCACCAGCGATTGTAGTTTTTGGTAGTATTCTTTTTGTTTAATCATAGCTCTTTGAGCTCTGTACCTTCTCTGAATCGTTTTGGTTGCTTTCTTTAGAGCCAAAAACTCTTCTCTGGTATTTCTCATTAATACCAGTGATCTAAACCTCCTCTGAACCACAATTGTAACATTTCTCAACAATAAATACTCTTCTCTAACGTTTCTCATTTCCATTTGTGCCCTAAATTGCCTCTGAATAACTAAAACCGATTTTATAACTTTAAGATAATGCGTTCTTTCAAATTTGAATAAAACATTCTGCCTGAACCTCCTCTGAACGAAGATAGAAGCATTTCTTAAATCTTCATATGTTTGTTTTTGATATAACATCAGTTTTTGAGCTCTGTATCTTCTTTGAAGCACTATAACAGCATTTTTCAATTTAATATAACTATTTCGTGCCGTCTGCATAAGTTTGTTAGCTCTGTACCGATGCTGAACACTTAAAACAGCATTTCTGATGGTTTGGTATTCGTTTCTGGCAGTCAGCATCGTTTTCTGCGCCCGATATTTTCTCTGTACAAGTATCGTAGCATTACGTAAGTTAATATAGTTATTCCTTTCAAGTTTAGCAAGCCTGTTTGCTCTAAAACGTTCCTGAATTTCAGTAATACAATTTTTAAGATGTAGAAAGTTATATCTCTCTTCTCGCATCATTAACGTGGCTCTATATTTCTGCTGTATCTTTATGCTAGCCTTTTTCATAGTTTGAAACTTTATTTTTTCTTTTTCCATTTTTTTGTTGGCCCGATATTTTTCTTGTATAACTACAGCAGCTAGTTTAAGAGAAACAAACTGAGAACGACATTTTTTCATCTCTATAGTTGCCTTATACCATTTTTGAATACTCTGGGCGGCAGTTCTTTGTTTTATATACTCATTTCGTTGAGCAACCATCGCCTTATTTGCCCGATACCTACTCTGAGTAAACTGGACTACTTCTCTAAGCTTTTGGTAACTTTGTCTTTGTGATTCCATTAATTTGTACGCCCTGTATCTTTGCTGGATACAAATCACTGATGACCTCAGTTTTAAGAATGCTTCTTTATCAGCTTTCATTTTAATCCAAGCTCTATAATACTCCTGAATTTTTAAAACAGCATTTCTTTTCATTTCATAATTTGATCTATCAAGTCTCATCATAGTTATGGATAAATAAGTTTGCTCTATCAACAAAACCGCTTTTTTTGTATCTTTATATTGTTTTCTGACAGTTTTCATTTGAGAAACTGACCTGTACCAATTCTGGACAGTAATAACAGCATTTCTGATCAGCAAAAACCGTCTACGCATTACGCTCATCCTGTAGTAACTCTGTAACATTATTGCTGACTTCCTCATTTGTAAATATTCGCTTCTGTATTTTTTCATCTCCAAATAAGCTCTGAATCGTTTCTGAATAACTGAGGTAGATAATATTAATAAAACAAAGTTGTTTTTTTCGATTTTGCATTGCTGATTGGCTCTGAATTTTCTCTGGATAAAAACGACAGCGTTTTTGAACTTCAAAAACCTTTTTCTAGCAATATATGTTTTGAAATTCTTCTGAATTATTCTGGCAGCTGTTATTCTTTGATGATAGTTGTTCCTTATAAGCCAACCTTTGGCGTAGGCTTGAAGTTTGGTAATAACGTTGTGTTGAATGGTGTATCTTCGTTTGGCGATGATCATTCTGAAAAGACTCTGTATTTTAATCACTGCCTTCAATCTTCTACATTCTTCTATGTGATTTCTGACGAATTCTGACAAAACAAAGTATGTTTGCGACAATTTCTGTCTTCTGAACCAAGCTTGAATTTTCCTTACAGCACTTTCCCTAAGTTCCCGAACCTTTTGCAGTTTTCTTCTCTTCAAAACCACAGGAAGACTCCTAAACCACTGTTGTATAGAAGTGGCCTTAGTCACCATTAAAGGAGCCTCAAACTTGTATATTATCTGCCACAAAAAAGACAGCGTGTTCTCTTTATGACCGTCAACGATATCTTTCGGAGATATATCGTACAAAATCTCGAAACCAGTTTGTTTTAACGATTCAAACACCAGCTGCATGTTATGGACTTTTTGAAGCCTCGAAATGGCGGGAACTCGAAGTTTCGACGTTAAATCCGACCTCATCTGCAGTATTTCCATGACTTTGGTTAGTCTGACCCCATCGCGCAGATCTACGCCTAAATTTTTAACAGCATAATCGAACTCGTGAATGTAAGATTGGACGTGCGTAACCACGTATCCTTTAGACTTCAAATATTTAGTAATATCTCCTACTGCAGATAGAGTCTCTCTAGCAAAATGTGTTAGGACTGACTTACTGTCTTTTTCTGAAGCATTTTTACAGAATAAACACGGATCATGTTGAATGAGCTTAGCGTTTTTAGCCACATCCAAGAAATAAACTAGAATCAAGAATTTTTTGAGAATAAACTTCTTGAGATCGCTCGAATATTTCGGAGCATATGGAGTCTTGTGTTTTTTCATCAAATACGGGTCTTTAAAGAACCTTTCCATGATAAAATGAGCCAAACCGCTCACATCGGAATTAGTTTTTAAAGGAATAACCTCGTTGTATATTGTTTCAAGTCCTATCCTTAACCAGAGAGGATTATATCCTAATATTAAACCCATGATGTCGGATTTTAGCTTTAAATTCAAATGAACATCTTTATCGTCTCGAATAGAGAGCTTTCCCCATTCCACCACATCGCAAACCCTTTGAAGAACCTCACCAAGTTCCTTGGAACGAAACAAAGTTTGTGCTTGTTTTCTTAGATGAACAAGCTTGCTATTAACGTTGTAATTGAAAGAAACGGTTTCTTTGCTTGGCGCTTCTGCAATGTCTTTTTTCTTGCATTCCTGCCAAATTTTCGCAGCGTCTATTTCAGTTTTAACGCTCAGTTCTTCGGGAGGTGTCAAAAGAACGTTTAGCCATTTTTTAAAACGAATTTCTTGTTTATCTACCCATTCTTCTGTGCTGTAAACTGAGGAAGATATGAATGGATCTATGACGTTCGAGTATAGGAAAGGATTCCTCACGATAACAGATTTTTCTGAGGTTTCAGTGATAGTAGACATCAATTGTTGGTTTTTATCTTGGTTTGTAGCAAACTGTCTTAAATTTAGACCAGAGGTAGACTTGGAAATCCTGAAAGCTGATGAACTTCTTTTAGACCAGTCAGTTTTTGGATCAGTACTAATTCTGCCCCTTTTGAACGAATAATTACTGACATCTGGACTTTTCCGTTTTAAAGTGTTCCTAAACGAACCTTCGCTAAATACGGCAGATTCTTCAGCTATAGAAGACAAGTGTTGTTGTTTTCTAGTTTCAACACCATTTGCGTTACTCTCCCCAAAATCAAAAGAGTTTGGTTTCAAAAAAATGGGAGATTTGGATTGGGCTGTTTTACTGGATACTGAAGATTCCTCCAGACGGGCTATATCGCCTACAGAAGCGTCTTTAACGTAGGTGACACCGCTAAGATTGGGGCTGTTGCTTCCTTTAACGTAAGTCTCACTGCTGACGTTCAACTTGAAGGTAGCACTTGAAATTTGTAATTCCGTCTCTTGGGAATGGTCTCTGGAACAAAAACTGGGTGAAAACTTGTTAAGAGCCTGTTGCTTTGGATCAATTATAGGAGAAAGGACGAAGCTATCCGTATTTTTCAAATTATACTCGAAATTCGAAAATACCCTCTTCCTTACTGTTCCAGTTTGTTCCAAATTCTCACCATTGCGTCTATTCTGTTCTCTCAAAGGCAGGACTTGATTGGGCGGGTCCAAACTGTCCCTGAAAACCGGGGAATCATCGAGTTTAACGTCAAACGTTTCGTTTTCCAAAAGTTTTTCGAAACCCACGTTTTCCACATTCAAAACGACGTTTTGAATTGAAAAGGTTTCTCGACGTTCTGTCTGTGCCGAACTGAAAACGTACGTGTCTCGTTTTTCAAAACGTTCCTCGGATTGCAGAGAAAAATTCACACTGTTTGGAGATACAAACGACGATGCAGTACTGCTCAAAAAATATGGTTGATTTGGAGATAGTCGATTCTCTTTGTTAGAACTACCTTTAAAACCATTTTCTTTGGGAGAGACATATTTATTGGTTCGTTTATAACACACTTGCTGTTCATAGTAATTTTTTGGTGATAAATAGTTATTGCTTTTTGTAGGTGATCTATCTTTGAACTCGTTTTCACGATTGATCAAACGACTGTAATGAGTTTTTGGAGAAATATCACTTATATACGATGTTTGCTGTTCCCTATGACTTTTAGGGGATGAATATGTGGAGGTATAATATTTTACAGGTGATGATCTGTTTGATTTAAATTTCTTTATAGGAGAAATAGGTTTCCGGCTGAGAGGTAGTTTTATTGGCGATTTTTGGAGAGGTTTTTTTGGCTTATTTTTCGTTATTTTCGCACTGATTTTCTGTAAAAACATTCGAGATAATTAGAAAATTGAATAGGAATTTTTATGATTTGCTAAACATGCTATTAGCCCCATCACTTTAACTGAAATTTGAGGAAAGAATTAAAAAAAAAATAGAGAGTCGAAAGATTTGATACAGATAGTAGTTTTCTAATTTAAAAAATCATGTCAATCAACTTGTCAACCGACTTTTTTGAGCCACCCTATAGAACTTAAAATATTTTTCTGAAATAGGCCCTAGTACAAAATTTCTAAGGTTTTTTATAGGAGCTACAGATCGTCAGTGAAACATGTTAACCTACTAAGTCCATTTTTAACTTTATTTAAATAATATGTTTAATACATAAATTTTACCTTAAATTTTTAACGAAATATTGAGTTTGTTCCCCAACAAATATTATTGATATCTCTTTATTATATTAACTCATGAATATACTTGCTACATGTGTACATATCTTTTTGTACCGTTTCGTTTCTCTCCTCTAAAATTAGGAATAATGGAGTTAGCAGTTTAACACGTTTCACCGACGAGTTGCCCGACACACTATTTGGAGGACCCTGAATTCTTTTTCCTGAAAAATCTAAAGTTATTGGGCTACTATAGGCTTGGTGTATTTCAACCGATTTTTTAAAATTCCGACAGCAGCACTCGGTACTGAAGAAATCAAAACTTTCGGGCTCTGTATTTCACGCAGTCCCGGTTAACGTTCATGTTGATAGCATAGAAATAATATTGGAATCATGGCTATGTCATAATACTGAAGTATTTTGAGTTTTACTAGTGCAGTTACTGAAACTATAAACTTCTCAGATATTTAGTTAGAAGAATTTTTTTTTTGAATTAATAAGTGAATTTTTGAATTAATAAGTAAGAGAATGCACTATGTGTGCATTTTATGCACACATAGTGCATAATAGGAAACCAATTCATATTGGAAACTACATTAAGATTAAGTTTAATTTATTGTAAAATGTAAAAGTACATTTTATAAAACTAGTTAAAATATTTGCTAATTAAGAATTTGCCCATTATTAGCTTAAGATTTAATGTAGTTAAATTACTAAAAAAACTCTGACAGATATATACACTTACTTTTGTTGCAGCAGATTTTAAAGTGACCCCAATACTCCTGTTGATTCTTTTACCATCTGACAAAGTAAAACTGTATCTTCCTGCTTCCTCGCTTATTGCATTCCACGTCATTTCCAAAATCTTCTCACTACCTGCCTCAATATAGGTTTCACTCCAATTCACCGTAAAACATAATTCTTCTGGTAACGTTTTTGTCACAAATAACTATAAAAACGATATAAATATAATTGAAAATACTACAGATAGATGTTTATTAGTTACCTTAATTCCTTGCTGAGTTGGGTTCTGGATCAGCAATTTTCTGCTTTGTGAAGTACCAACAAGAACATCATCAAATGTGATTTTGGGAATTGGTGTAAAAGGTGCCAGTGACAATATCTCAATTTTAGTATCTTCCATGTTTCGGTCTTTTTGAACAACTCGTTTGGTTTTCTTTCTTACAACAGGTGATATCTATATAAAAAAAATATGTTGAAAACATCTTATAATATATTTGGATATATTTTTATATTTTTTTTATATTAAGGAATCTAAAAAAACATAAAAAGAACTTAAAAGGTCCACATAATTTAAAATATTCCACTGATAATCCATATGCATGTCTCTGGTGAATCTGTTTGTGACCTGGACTCTATTTTAGCATTAAAATATGTGTAGCTCTTATAGTAACTTTTACACTCAAAATTTCATTCGAATCCCTAAAAGCAGTTGAAAGAAAATTATAATAACTAATAAAAAATTAAGACTTTAACCTCCTGTAGCTACAAAACAACCCAGAATCAGACATTATGTTGATATAAAAAATAAATTTTATTTTTACATGAGGAATCTCCCCACAAGAGATGGTACATACTTTTTGAAATACCCTTTATGTAACTGTAACTTATGTAATTAAATATTTTAGTATAATATAAATAAGAAGTGAGAAAGGTATACCCCCAGCAGAGTATTTTTATTTTACGTCTCATATATTTTTTACAAATTTCGTGGGTATACAATTCCGTGTTTAGAAGAGATAATTCACGAAGTAATTAAATGATATACTTTATTACAGTTGGGGGGTTGGAAGTTTTAATCATCTGCTAATGATATTAACATGGTTAGCGAAACGCGCGTCCAGTGTACAAAGTGTTTTGGTGTATTGTGGTAAGTTAGTGTTTTATTTTGCTAAATATACTTTACCTAGAAGAATATGGCGAATAGTAAAATAGCAAAGTATTTAACATAAAAAAGACTTTGTTACAAGAAGAGGTATCTACATAAAAAAAACGTTGAAAACATCTCACCTATTTCTTAATTTTAATTTTGGGTTAATTCACCAACTAATTAAATATATTTTACCTGGAAGAACATGGTGAATCTCAGATAGCAAAACAAATAGATAACAAAAAGTTTTTAACATAAAAAAGATACAATAATAATGCACTATTTACACCTAAATCAACTGCCAACTTTTGAACTTTTGGAATTTAACTGAATTTATTTAAATTAGTTTAAATCTGGGAAATATCCAAAGATTATATTTATTTTCAATCTGAAGTTAGCTATGAAAATCAACAACGATCATATACATAAATAGTTCAAATAAGCAGGGTTCGGAAAACTACATGTTACTTTTAAAAACTACATTACATGTAGTTTATGTATAGGGTGTAGTTTATGTAACCTAGGTATGTAACTTTCAAATATCAAAGGTTTGAGGTGAGGTTATAATAAGTCGAAGCTTTAAAAACACATAATGTATTTAAGAAAACAGAAGAAATATGGCTTTAAATTTTCAATTGGTAAAGGTGTGGATCCGGTGGCTGACCTTGAAGCCCATATTTGCTGCTTTTGATCATCGATACTACGCAAGCGCACATCGTCGATGTTGCCAAATTGCAGTTTATTTTCGAATTATTTGCAGTTGAAAATTTTTTTTTTGCGTGTTAATCAATAATAATATGAATTCTATAATTAATTTTATAATTTCAGATTTATCTTGATATCCAAAATTAAGGTAAGAAGGATAATGAAGATTGTGAAATGAAAGTATTATGAATATATAAAATTGTAATAATAATAACATTTATTTATATATTTACATTAGAATTAAAATTTATCATTTACGGATTTTTGCTTAATGGTTTTAAACTTATTAGAATTATTTTATTTCTTTCAAGTTATTTAATTTCTAGTTATTTACAGGCAACAATAGTTTTGATTATATGTATTGATGTTTTGAAGTACTACCATGACGAGTCTTATTATAGAACAATACACGTCAATCGGAGATAGAGGTAACATTTTACCTATTATATGTATAATGTTACTAATATAATATACTTTGATTATAATTAATGTTTGTATCATCATTTCTTAAAAATATCAAGTTAGTGGATTTTATCGAACAGTGTGTTGATAAGCAGTGGCGGATACAGGGAGGGGCCCATGGGGCCCGGGCCCCCCAAAGTCTGTGAATTGTGTAAAATATTAGGCTTTTGTGTTAAAAATGGCGCCCTAAAAACCATATTCTACATTGCTTTTCATTTTGGGCCCCCCTAAAATAAATTCCTGTATCCGCCCCTGTTGATAAGACTAAAATAAGCTTTATGTTTTATCTTTTTCTTTTTAGAAGGGAGATGGTTTGTATCGTAGAATACATTACAGTATTTAATATCGTACTACTTTGATATTCTTTTCTTAATTTACTGTAATTTCTTGTTTCCTATAATGCCAAATCTTGACAATATGGTGAAGGTTGAGTTTTGATCTTATTAGTTTTATAAGAATAATAATAATAATAGAAATACAAGACTAATATTAAGACTTAGTTTGTGATTTATATTAAGATCTTTCTTATAATATTTGTTATGTCTTCATCTTAATACTATATTATGCTTGGTCTGGAAAATAAATGTTAAAATATCTTAATTTTGCATATCCTATTCATCCTTCCATTAGGAAAAATATGGTTTATAAATCATATATGCTAAGAAAATCACATAAATTAGGTGTAAGAATAGAGAAATCTTAATGTAGCAGAAAAATTAATGCAATATATGTATAAGCAGAATTAAACAAGGTAACTGTTTATTCATGTTCAATTAAATGTTGCTGAAGCTGATTCTACAATTTTAATTACGGAGGCTAAAAGGCCCTTTAAGGCCTCCGTAGTTTTGATGGAATGTTAAAAAATCTACTATGAACCTGACATGGAGCTACAGCATTTAAAAATTAAAAAAAAAAGAAAAAACTTGGACACATCCCTTTTAATTTCCCGAATTTTTAATAAAGCACTTTTTAAACGTAGCATAATAATCTAGATAGGAATCTAGAGTTTTATTTCTATATAATTTTATTGACTATAAAAATACATAATAAGCGTTCACGTGTTATGCGAAATATTAAAATAATATACCGCGTACTATGATTGAAAAAAAAATAGCGTCAGCAATGACTATGAAATGAAGATCGCTGTCATTTTATGAAAATGTCCTCAATCGTCATTTCCCAGCCAACTGGACGCTGTTTTTTCGATCATACGGTATATATTGACAAAAAAACACTGAAAAGTACATATTTGTTTTCTACTGAAAATAATTCCAAAAAACTCGCAATCTGGCAACATCGAAGATGTGCGCATGCGTAGTGTCAGTGACTATATGCAGCAAAAACTCGTTTCAAGGTCAGCCACCGGATCCACACCATTACCTTTCAATTTAAGATGGAACAGAAAATATATGATTTACTAACCGACAGTAAATCCGGTTGGAACGTTTTTCAACTTCTGCGCAAACTCCTTACCAAAGCTCCTTACTGTAAGAAACCGTTTCTTACGCGGGTTGGAACGAACCTGATAACATAGGAATGATACCACTCATAGATAAAGGGGTAAAAACTGCCCACAGTCCGACAGTGCATTTCCGAATCGATATTCATTGTATACTTTATTGCACTTTATTGTTTATAGTGTATGGCGTCAATACCTAGTTTTCAGTTGTTTGATGTGTGTTTTCTTTATTGTATTGTCCATTTGTCTCTCTTTGTCGGTTGCATTTTATTTTTTATTCCTTTATCTATGATTTTATACGTTAAAGGTTCTGTAGCATCCCTGTGTAGTTGCAGCTTCGCTCCTATTGGTCCAATAGTTCAAACAGCTGTCAATTTTAAATTTAGTACAGCTCCCATTGGTCGTTTGAAGTGTCAATCAGTGTCGCTGTCGACACGACGCAGTTCTGAGAACGGGGCTTTACGAGACAACTTAATAACCCTATGATGTTAGTTATTCTATGCCTATGATGGTCCAGAAAAATTGCTTCGGTCTGCTTTGGTTAAAAAGGGTTAAAAGTAGTTAAAAGTCTTAATTAATTTGTTATGACAATGGTTGATAATCTTTTGAGCGATTTCACCAATTCCAATGATTTATCAACTACTTCAGAGTTTTGCCATTTATATAAAAATTCCAATAGAGCTAATAAGCTATCACAACATGAGCGAAGAGAATTATTATTAAAAGACCAAAAGAATAGGCGGCATGATCTAGTTGATGGTTTTCGAGATGTAGCTAAAATATTTTTCGATGATGAGAACGTCGAGTTTTCTGAAAGTACTGAAGTTTTGGTGGATATGGATTTTGACAATATCGAAGAGCAAAAAAAGCCACAAACGTTTAATTTCATGGAATCTGAATGGTTTTCTGAAGTCCCAGAGGATCTAGAAGAGAATTGGTTAGTAAAACTTGTTCCTGAAGGTTTTAGAGTACTGGCAGTAGCCAAGAGGAATAAAACAATTATTTTTAATAAAAAAGGTCGAGTTTTAACCCTAAAGACACACCTTCCTGGTGGCGGTCTTACTAAGGGCAGCGGTTTAACAGTTTTAGATTGCATATATAATAAAGTTTCAAAAACAATATTTATCTTGGACTGTTTACATTGGAATACTATGTCATTACTTGATAGTGAAACTAATTTCAGATTTTATTGGTTGAAAAATAAGTTTGATGAAAATTCTAAGTTCGTTCAGACAAATAAATCTTTCAAGTTATATCCGCTGGATTTTTTTCCTGCTCAAAGGGCAATTATCCAAGATAAAGTGTTTGAGCCTCTTAATACAGAGAATAAAGTTTTATGTGAGGGACTGGCATTTTATCACAAAGAGTTGCATTATATTTTTGAAGAAACACCATTACTTGGTTGGTTATTTACATACATGTTACCAGAAAAACTAGGCTTAGATATTTTACCAGAAAATTTGTCAAAAATGCCTAATAACTACGAATGCCTTGAGAAATATGTGGAAAACTTGAAACAAAAAAATAATCAGAAACATTGGAGGAAATCAAAACAGGAAAAGAATAAAATGGATATTTCTTAAGGCATTGTATTTACAACTTGTGTATAGATATAATACATTATATTTACAACACAAGTCAGTTTATTTTGTTTATTAGTCCTTGAAACTCTACTTAAATTGTTATTTATAACACACTTGACAATAATATCATATAAAAAAGTGTGAAAAACCATAAGATTTCTGATATCGTATTTATGTTTTTAAATACAGTAAAAAATATATTTTAGTTTAACCTCAGAAAATTACTTGTATATATGATTTTTATTTTATTAATAATAAATACATCTAGTATCCTAATGTTTATTAAAAAATTGTATTATTACATGTCTATTCCCTGTGTAGTATGTAAAGCCAAGGACACACCTGAAGAACGTTACCATTTGTTCGTGTGCATTGGCATGTCATGCTACCCGTTCGCACGGGGTGGCATGACACATTTGAACGAATCCTTTTCTTTTGCTGACATTTCCACCATTTGCACTCTTTCCAATTGCTGCATTTTTACCGATACGTCCACAACGCAACGTTTTCAACCATTCGCGGTTCGCATTTTTCTTTGATCTATTCACTTTTACCGCCAGAGGATGGAAAGCGTTCATTCGCGCTGAAACCCTTCGTCGTGACGTACATTCGCTGCGAATGCACGTCCACACCCGAGAAAGATTTCCTCGCGAATGGTAACGTTCGTCAAGTCTGTCCTCGGCTTAAGAACTTGTTTGTTGTTTGTACATATATCTATTTTACTGCTTATAAACATAAAAATGATAATAAATAATTTAAATAAGATTATTGAAATGCAAGGATTGCTAAGTCACATTATCATTATTTTAACTTTTAGGATTTGAGCAAATAAACATTTTGAAAACAAAAGTAAAATGTACATTTATTTAAAAATACCACAGTATAGTACTCTTATTATGTCATACAAAATTGTAAATGGTTATGATTGGTTAAAATTTCTTGATTATTTAAGAAATTTATAATTACATTATATAAAATACATTGTGATGAATTAATTTATTACTAATTCAAACCTAAGCTGACTGAAATAAGTTCATCATAAGTATACAAAAAAATATATTCTTGTTATCTTAAGGAGCCACTCGTTTTGGGTCACGTGGAAACATCGATGTTTTTCTAACATTATCTAGCCCCAAGTATAACATAACTACCCTTTCTAGACCTATTCCACCTCCAGCGTGGGGAGGACATCCATATTTGAAAGCATCTATATATGCAGCTATCTTAGTTATATCTAAAAATATCGAATAGTTAGTCTTATGTAGGTAGTATATGTGAAAATATACAGGTTGTTAACTGGACGGTTACTTATTGGGGAACAGAATGGCAACACTGCCTAAGGTAAGCTGCCGACTCGTCCCGTCGCGTCGCGTAGTCTCTCGACGAGCGGGCCGAGGTTGCCATATTTCAACCATAAAGCCAGAGATATAGAGATAGGAGAATGAGCTTGAAGGTGCGCAGAAATGAAGATCCCCATGGCCGCCATGATAATGTTTAGGTCTATAGGGGGAATTCAAAAAGTAATGATCATACTAGAGTGGTTTATGATATATTAAATTAAGATTAATTATTATATTATTAGCTATAATACAGTTGCGGTATTATATCTATAAAAAAATAAATAAGTATTTTAGTATTCTTCTATCATAGGAATTTTGTATATAAAAGCTTACTATAAATATTTTAAGAAGTTTGTTTTAGTCATTATTTTCGTTTATTGAAAATAATTTTGGATGTTTTTAAAAGATTCTTACTTCAAATAAATATGGGAAACTAAAGAAAAATAGAAAGAAATGCAATCTCTAACGTTATGAGAATTTTTCAAATTTATTGTGTTACAAATTTGTTGAGTATATTTTTCAGAGAATAAAACAAAAACTGAATATCATAAACATTTATTTTCTAAACAAAATTTTACATAGGTATATGTTAATATATCACCAGATCATCACACATAATTATTGCATAGTTAATGCAAAATATTCAATATATACAAATAATATCTGAATTAATCTTGAAACATATTTATGTAGTATCCTTCTACTACGTGATTAAGTATATCAATGTAATGACTATATAAAAAGAATTTGAAATAATCAAAATATATACTTCAGAAATACGAGAAATACATTTAATTTTTTAATGTATTTAATTTTTATAAATAATACTAGGTTATACAAATAAGTATAAAACATAAATATAACTTACAAGTGAAAAGTAATTTGTGTATGACGACCAGTATTCTTCCTGTTATTCTTGCACTCTTTTCTCTTTTACAGTACAAGACATGATTAAAAGACTATATATTAAAAATAAAATACTAAACAAAGAACTATCACTAAACAATACACTAATTGGCTATACCAGCTAAAACACTAACAAAAATTATTTTTTACACAAAAAAAACACTAGAAACAGTTCAGAATAGTAGAAAAACTGTTTATCACGATCATCATCATCATTTTCAAGTTTCAGCTTATTCAACCATTTCCAATTATGATGTAGCCTTCCTCACATATTTAGATCTATTGTCTGTCCTTCTTGCCAGGTGTCCTGCCCATTGCCACTTCAGGGGTGCAACTTTGTTCAAGTTAGCAACCGATCGTTTAGAAGCGATGTCTAAGCCAGATCGGTACTATGTTCATTGCAAAACTATTGTCGCTCAAATGCTGTGAAATATGGTATCACTATCACACTCTTGCACACGTGTGCGACACGGTCTAGTCTGTCGCCTCGCCACAAAGCGAGAAATCAGAATATCGCTACGAATCGATGTTGCTACTGAACATAGTGCCTCAAGCTACAAATTACTTTACTATCGCTTTGAAACATGAATAAAGTTGCACCCCAGGAATTTGACTCTGTGGATCACATCTATTATCTGGGTTTTGTGTCGTATCCACTCTATTCTTTTAGGGTCCCAGCATTTCGTTCTATTGAGTTTTGTGCAATGTGCAGTTTCCTTATGATGTCCGTTTTAAGTGTCCAGGTTTCACATGCATAAGTCATCACTGGTAGTACACATTGGTTGAATGTTTTGTTCTTTAGATAAAGTGGAATTCAAGATTTGAATATGATTGAGTTTTTTCCATAAGTACTCCATGCCAACTTAATTCTTCTGTTGATTTCTGGTAATAGAGATCCCGAGCTGTGTATTAGTTGTCCAAATACATGTATTCTTCTACGATTTCCAGTGCTGTGTTATTTATTAGAATGGCTTTTCTGTCCACTAGTTCATTATACAGTACTTTTTGCTAAGAGCATTTTGTAGCTTGTAGTTCCTCAGGACTCTTAGCAATTAGGACTATGTCATTAGCAAATCTTAGATGGTCGAGATATTCTCCATCTATTTTTAATCCTTTGTTGGTTCAGTCCAGTTGACGGAAGATTTCTTCTAGTGTTGCTGTAAACAGCTTTGGGGATATCGTGGTTCCTGGTCGTACTCGTATTCCTTTACCACTTTACCAGTTGGGAACTCTGGGGTTGTTTTATAAATCATTACTCTTGCTTTGGTTTCTTTGTATATATTGGCGAGAGTTTCTATATAAGGCCTTGCTTCGCTAGTTGCTAGGGCTTCTATTATTGCCTTAGGATATATTGAATCAAAAGCCTTCTCAAAGTCTATAAAGGCTATGGCTAGTGGAAGTTCGTATTCTTTTGTTCGGCTGATAGTTTCTTGTGTACGTATGTGATCAATCGTGCTGAAGAATGCTGAAGAAAAGCTGTTTATATCAGTCCTTAAGTTAAAAAAAAAGAAAAATTACATTAACCTCGAAAAAAATAGCAAAACAATAGGATGAAATGTCAGAACGGTCTGCTGCTATTACTTTTTGATTTCCCCTGTAAGCCTAAACATTAACATAGCGCCCATGTAGGCATAACAAGATTTTTGGATGCGCACTCGTCGAAGCTCATTCTCCTTATGTGTATATCTCTGCATAAAGCTCTTGCTGCGAGTAATAAACAAATTAACAACCTCTATGTATAATGTTAACAAAATTTTGATATATAGGTACTAGAATTTCAAGTCCTTAACAAGGGAAGTAAATTTTCTAGATGTCTAGCTTTAAGGAATATGTAAGGAACAAGTTCTTGGAACTATCAGAACAAATTTAAAAATAATCCAGGATTATCTAAAGTAATCAAAAAGGAACCCAAAAATACAATAATATATAAGGTGTTACATTTAAAAAAATAATCGACGTCCACCCACTTATACATTTCTGAGACACCCTTTGCAAGTATGCACAGGGTGTATTAAAGAAAGTCCTTAGGTTTTTTTACCTATAGGAGCTATGGATGACCAACGCACTGCGACCCTAAATAAAAAGGTGCTTATGTGCTGTACAGGGTGTTCCATTTTGGTTTAAATCATACGGTTTTTGTCAAACGGAATATGCCGTAAACAACATTTTCATAGCCCTCTTCGTTTCTGAGCTACAAGGTCTTTTTGAAAATTTTGCAATTTGTAATATATTTGCAATATAATGAATCCCGTTATAAAAAAAAGAAAAATATATTCAGATTCAGTGGTAACAGTTCAAAAGTAAAATATTTCAATCCCAAATAAAATTTTAATATGTGTGTATGACTATTTTAGTAAATACCATTTTGATTTTTTTGTTATCAATCACGGCCTACTAATAAGAAAATGATCTCTTTTAAATATTGCAGGAATAGTGAAAATAAATATAGAGTGATGTATATTTTTGAAAAGATCATAGCAAGACGGATAATATGATTTATAAGTATACAGGGTGTTCCATTTGAAAAACATAACTTTAATTCTTATTCTCAAAAATATTTTTTTCGTAGAAAAACCAACTACGCCACTGTATTCTACGTAAAAAGTTCACAAGAATCAGTTTTCGCCTTCTCTATATCGTTCTCAATACGGGGGCTGTCCCAAATTCCAAAATATTCGAAAAGACCCAGTAGTTCAGACACCAAGAGGGCTAACAAAATTTTGTTGATAGCATCGTCCGTTTGGCAAAAAAGTGGGACAGGTTTGTGCAAACTGCATCCTCTTATCTTTACTAATAACAGACATACAGTATGATTTAATCAAAATGGGACACCCTGTTGGTTGGGCATATTTTATGATCCCAAATCTTGCAAACTTATTTTCACTCTCCAAGTCATAAGTTGTTACAAAATGTTAGTATTAAAAGTAACGAAAAATTCTCTTGAGCGAGTTATTCGTAAAAGTGTGAATTATACAGTGTCACAGATATAGTCTGCATGAATGTCACTAATGTCAATTTTCAGCTATATAGTTGAACATTATTGTTTCAAAATCCGATGGGCACATAAAACTTTATATTTAAGAAAAAAGGTTGCACTAGAGCTGTCCCGATTTTTTAAATACAAAAGATGGCAACCCTAGGCCCATATGATGCGGATATTATCTGTGACACTGTAGATCCTGATTATCATACCAATCCCATGAAATTTAGCTCTTTCCGTCAAAAACTGGGCATCGTGAACCCTTTGGGCACCACTTAGTATTTCTTCTCCCCTCATAAACATATCATAAGAATTAGAAAATTTGGCATTTTGAGGATCAGGCATAGTATAAAAAGGTCTGACAGCCAAAGGATATTTGTCCAAAATATAAAAATCTGTATCATATTTAGCCTAAAAAATGACAGTTGATTTATTTTTTTATAGATGGCCCTGGTCACTTTATTTCCGTGGTCTGTATTTTAATGCATATGACAGAGATAAATATTTATGATCATATGTCAGACAGAGAGACAAAATAAAAAGCTACATACACACTCAATTCTGTTAGACTTAAGCATTGATAACTTGGAAGAAGATATCAATGCTTTTGAATTTGCAATTGGTTTCTTCCGATTAGTTCAGAAATAGTGTTAGTAATCGTATTTTAAGGTGTAAATTTTCAAATCAAAGAGCTCTCAATTCTGACCCTAGTGACCAAAATAACTATGATTTTTGGTTTTTGTAGTTTCGCCAGCGACACAACGTAGTTCTGAAACCGAGGCTTAATAAGGATCTATTACAGCTATAGTAAAATGAGTAACTAATTGTGGAAATTAAAGATCCAGCGCTAGATGCCACATTTTTCGTAAATGCTTACTTGGGCAGTTTGAAATTTTTATTCAAAATCCGGCAATACCGCATAGAAGAAATGCATCAACGCAACTTCTTTCTCTTTTTAATACATTTAATTTTTCATTATGATATCTACATTTTATCACTGTCTTAAGCTTGATTTTCATGCATCCGTTGTCCGACGATACGTTGATACGATATAAATTTCATTGGTTGTATTTAAAGGCTTCGATTGATTAACCGTTTCTAACCAACCGAAGTCTTTAAATTTAACCAATGAAATTAATATCGTATCAACGTATCGTCGGACAACGGATGCATGAAAATCAAGCTTTACACGTTAAAATCCAGACCACGCTACTACAGTAACCAAATATGTGTAAGTATACCTATAATAAAACAATATTTACCTTAACTAAACGTCCTAATAACTTTTCAACTGGTGTACTCAAATCATCCTCTTCCCCAATTTCAACTCCAGCTTCTGCTAACATCTTTCTGATTTCTGGATATTGTAAAACTAAGGGGGGATCTAAGAAAGTGAACGGCTCTGCTGGATATTGTTGATTAATTATAGAAATTTCAGTTTTATATCTAAAAAAATCAGCTGTTTAACCTGCTCAATAGAATGTAATAAGTAAAATTTTATACTGATCACGAAGGCCTTTAAATATTTCAGTAAATAAATTTCCAATAAGTAACATCACTTCATGATAATGATACTTAAATGCCATTTCTAAATCTAGGCCAGTAAATTCAGTTAAATGTCTGTGAGTGTTTGAGTCCTCTGCACGAAACACAGCCCCTACAGTAAAAACTTTATCAAAATCAGCAGCTATAGCCATTTGTTTGTAGAGCTGGGGACTTTGAGCTAAATATGCAGAACCTAAAAAATAACATAAATCTAAATTGTTCATAATATACAAATTTAATGAAAATTAGTACCTTTGAAGTAACTCACAGTAAAAACATTAGCACCCCCCTCAGAAGCTGCTGGTATAATTTTTGGTGTATGAATTTCCACAAATCCTTGTTTTGTTAGACAATCACGAAAAAGTCTACACACACCAGCTTCCAATCTAACAATATTAAAAAGATATAATAGGTACCTTAAATACATGGTGTCCCAATATTCCGTGGACATGTAGAGAGTGGGAGGACGGTTTCACCGCAACATTAATTATTGTAGAATGTAGAATAGTGGAAGGGGGGTTTTCCCCGAATATAGAACTATTATGTATTTTTGGAAAAAAAGTTAATTGCACACAATTTACCTCTATACAAAAGTGCTTCGTTTGTCCGTCATAGGGATCAAATTTTAAAACAAAAAAGCACATTTTTTAAGGTATTTTAAGAACCGTCATTCCGATCTGAATCAGATTTGGTTTTCCCAAGGGCTTTGACATTTTGGTGTTCATTTTTACAAAATTCATGAAAAAGTACGGAAAGGGTGAAAACTACCCCACCCCTACATACATTTTAGTAGAAATAATTTACAACTCCACCGATCTCTGATTATTTTATCATAAAATGATCCCTCTATTATTTACTACATTTTTGTCTCTTGTATAAAAGATATCCACATAATCTTAAATTAATTAACGTTCAGGTTTAGTTCAGGTTTATTGTTGATGCCCTCTAGCGGACAAACTAAGCACTTTTCTATAAAGGTAAACTGTGTGCAATTAACTTATTCTGATTCTAAAAATACATAATTGTTCCATGTCCACCGAATATTGGAACTCTCTGTATATTTTGTAGGTCTGCTTTGGAAAAAATACTGATTTTTTTCTCAATAACAATGCGATGTGGCGTATTTTACAAGAGACAAAAAATTACTACATTTTTTGTCTCTTGTAAAAAACGCTATATAATACTAGAAGAACCATTTTACGAAAAAAATTGGGTGGTCGGTGGAGTTGGAATATATTTCAACTAAAATTAATGTAGGGATGGAGGTAATTTTCACCCTTCCCGTATTTTTATTTTTTATTTTTATGACAGTCAAACGTTAAAGCGCTTAGCAAAACATAGGTACCCCAAAACCGTTCTTAAAATATCTTAAAAAATGTGTAATTTTTTAAAAGTTTATTTTAACAAACGAAGCACTTTCATTTACTTGTATAGAGGAAATTGTGTCCAATGAACTTATTTTGATCCGATAAAATATAAAGTAGTTCTATGATCACGGAATATTAGGACACCCTGTATAATATTTTTTTGTACCTAAATATTGCTTGATTAGTTGGAGTTCTTAAATCCAATATTCTATTATCTAATCTAGTATCTTGATTAACTCGTATTTTAAGGGACTCTTCGTCCTACAAAATGTAAGCGTTATAATTATGCAAAAGTCTAGAACATTTCATACATCTGGTTTCTCAGGTCTACTAGCATCCTCAATCTGTAAAGGCAATTGTGGAAGCGAACTAGACACTATCCATATTTGGGATACAATTAGCTCAACATCATTTTGAGTGCAACCTCCTACTCCAGATGGAACTTCTGCAACTTTTGCTTCAATATCTATTATACTTTCTTTTGAGATGCTAAAGTATAGATGAAAGAAATAATTTATAAATATCCATAATTTATTGCAAATAAAACTAACTTGCTAGAAAACTTTACCATAGCTTTTGAAACCGTTTCTGATACATTTATAAGAGCTTGTGCTGTAAATTCTCGTTCTCGAAGAACAATAAAACATTGTTTTCCTCTAGCTCTAACTGCGTGTAATCTACTCCTAACCCAGATTACATTATTTATTAAAGATTTGTTTAAATCTTTAAGGTATGTAAATGTACGTTTAGGCGATGATGGATCAGATCGAATTAATGGTAATGTTCCATACTTCCCAGTAGATACATCTTCTACAATAACAAGAGATAAGTAACACATTTTGCGTATCATATTATAAATAGATATATTTTGTAAATAACTTTCACATTGCTTGCATTTTATATCCAAGATGTTAGTTTACAGCGTTTTCAGATGGAGCGGAGCGTCCGCGACTTCAAGCAAGTACTGTGCAAGTAACATGAGTTTATATGAACGATTTCACATGGGTAGCGTATGCTCCGTCCGAACGAGCTATATTGGAAAAACATCCGCGCGTACGGTCCGCTCCATCTGAAAGCGGTGTTAGGGCTTTTGTTCGAGTCTATGCCCTACTAAATAAATACGCCATTAGAATATAAAATTAGTATAACAGAACAATTTTTTTACTGAGATAATAATTTCTTATCTATACTTCATATCATTGTTATTACCTAATATTTCAAACGTTCGGATACCCAAGCTCATAGTATAATTTTAATATTTATTTTTTAAACGAACTGTATTGTAAGCAATGAATCAGTTCTCACCAAAGGTTCTCACGATTCTTTGAACGAACCAGCCGTAGAAACGAACGGAGTCGCATTGTGATCCGATTCAATTCGTACGACTCGTTCGTTCAAATTTTATGGATCCGTGCTGGCCACGATTCAATTGAACGAATTGATCGAATATAACGATTCATTTTTAATACTCGTTCAATCTTTGCCCACCTCTAATATGTACAGTGATGCCAATTCGTGGGAATTTTCGAGATCCACAGGGAAAATGGAAATTTTAATCCAAAACACCATATTCGTGGGAAATTCTAAAGTTTATGTATTATTCGTAAAAAAGTAGTTATCGTATACGCATTCAACAAACTGAGTAAATTGAAACTTTTATAATGAACTCGGTAAAAATATTTTCCGCATCGCCTACCGTGGTCCTCATACAGAACGGAACGCGCAAGCAGCCCGTAGACCGCCTAGGTGGCTATAGTCTATCCAACGATAAAATCCATGAAAGTGAGATATTGTGTCTGTCATTTTAACGCACTAGCACTTTTTTTTCTGTCATTTTTTGGATGTCGTCTGTGGATATCTTCCCTGGTTCCATGGCTCGTTCAATTCATTCATTTCGTCTGGTCAGCTGCAGTTGGGTGGCAATGTCTTTTCCTTAACAAGGCACTATAATGTCTAATTCGACGGATGAAAGCGTAAATGAATAGCAACGAAAGATGTGGGAATTTTTTAGAAAAAAGAAGAAAATTTTGACCGTCTTCGTGAGAAATCGGTGAGAAATTTCGGAAAATTGGCAACACTGAGTATGTATGAATAAACAACCCATTTAATGCTGTTTTTTCGCAAAATTTTGGGATTTGGCTTTTCAGTATTAAGTAGCTTTCCGGGATAGTAAAATGACTTTCAGGGATCCGGGACAACGTACCCAAATCCCGTATTTTCCCGGACGTCTGGCAACCCTAGTTGTGAGTGCAGTGTCCATAGATAAAAGAAAATAATCTTCTATTAAGATAGATATGAAACTTAATAGTAAAATTTTGGGTCAAAGCGCCCCCCGTGTTCTTAGTAGAGACTACGTTGCACCCAGCGCCTTCGCCTTTTCTGCTGTAAATATTTTTTATGTTTATATTTGATTTCAAAGGATTTAGTTTTAAAGTTACACTGATATATTAGTATATCAGAGTAACTTTAATAAAACATAAGAATATATATATATTTTACAGTTTATTAAATATAAATTTTGACTACAAGGTAGAAAGTAAATCACAATATTTGATAAAACTTATAAGTATACCATTTTACAGTTAATAAATAATAAAACTATTTCTGACTATGATATTTAAAATTTAGATAGATAGAATATTAAAAACATACCGGTATTTGCAGACGCAGACCCAAATTCAATAAAAGTAAAATTGTTCCTGCGAAAATCGGGCTTTTTTCACAGAAAAGGTATTTTTTGATTTATCAACAATCATTGTCAAGTTGACAATATACAGGGTGTTTTCTAATTAGTCTAAAAAATTGTGGTGTGATTCCTCATGTGTTCTTAAAACAATTTTTATATAGCCATTAGGTCTAAAGTACTTCCTTTCTGATCTACAGGGTGTTAAAAATTAAAAAAAAAATCGATATTTTGCTTAACATAAATGGTACACTACTGCTTTTTTAAAGAAAATATATTTTTTTCTTGACTGGCCATCCTTTTTCAACAAAATTGATCTTTTAAGTTTTTCTTGTTCATTAAACGGTTGCCGAGAAAAAAATAAATATACTTATTAAGAGCCCGCCTTAAGCCGTTCTCTAACGATTTTTTATTTTTTAGATTAATTAGGAAACACCCTGTATATGCATATCACAGGCAACCAAATAAACTAGTAACCTCTAAAAAATATTTTTCCTACCACTAGCGACATACCGTGTTTTTAGTGAGTACTAGATTATTTTATCAAAATTTCACCATATAAGTTTCCAGGCAATGGCAGTGTCCTAATACCTTTGCCTAATACAATATGATCGAAAGAAAACCGCGTCAGCGATGGATATGAAATAAAGATCACTATAATTTTATACCGGGTGCGTTTCAAAAGTGGTTCACCCTTATAACTTTTTTATTTTTTCAGATAAAAAATAGAGATTTGGTATATTAATATATGACATAAATTAGGACTGATTGACATATTCAATTATTTTCTGTCACTTCCTGTTTCAGCGGAAATTACTACAACTTATGATTTTTAAATGATACTGGTACCCTCGGTGTTTTGTTGCTTTATTCGATAGAGAAACACACTCTGAATAGAATGACATATCATATGTCAGTTTTTGACACTTACGTCAATCAATCCTAATTTATGTCATATACTAACATACCAAATCTCGTTTTTTTATCTGATAAAAAGTGTGAGCCACTTTTGAGACGCACCCGGTATATAAAATTATATGCGGAATGTCATCAATCGTCATTTGCAAGCCAACTGGACGCCGACTTTTTTCGATCATACGGTAGTTCCAAAACGCAATTTGTTGCTGAAAGTTTTACTTTTCTCAATCTATTTCAACTGAATTTTATTCCAAACCTTAGAAACGTCTTGACGTCCACCTATTAATTGGAATCTATGGAACCTGTTAGAGTATAGTATGGCCAACGCATATAAATAATTATTGTCCAACAGGATTAAATAAGATATAAATGATATATTCTTTTGTATATCTAACCTTTTTACTCCTTAAGTGTTTACTCAACAAAGGTAACTGATTATTTTTATGTTTTTTTTAATTATGATGTAATATTCATATTATTTCGTAGTTTTTCATGTAATGGGGGCTTCAAGTCAATTAAAAAAAAAATTATCAGAATTTGAATGGTATTTTACTCTTAGATTAAGAATATATTAATTTTATTACTAGTAAAGTAAATAAAAAACACGAAAGTAAATAATAAGCAAAAAAAGTAAAGGGTGCAAGGCGCAATAATTTATTTTTTACTAAACTAATTACAGAGTATCACATTAATGATGATTGATGATACTGGTGCTAGTATCTTCATTTAAATCTATAGCAAAGTATCTGACTTAATTCCACGTTAGACAATATTGTATGTAATATGGTAAACCACTATTTTTTAATGGTTAAACTATTAATACAAAATTAACGCTTAAATAATATTAATAGATATCCAGCCATAAATATCAATTGGTATTTTTCTATAGAAAACAATAAAAAATAGATTTCAATGGTGATTAGGGATCCAAAAATAAGCGTAAATAAATTATTATTAAAGAAGTCGCCACTTTTCTTAACAATTCTTATCACAACCAAAACAAATATTTACAGACTAGATGGCAAGTATATTAAAAGTAATTAACACAAAATAGCTTACCTTCATCTAATGAAGATATATTTTCACTTGGATTACCAGCTCTATGTTCAGCTTTTTTTGCAGCTTTCTCGGCTTTTTTAGCTTCCTTTTTAGCTGCTTTCTTGCTTTCTGTTTTTGCTGTATCTTCTATCATCTTGATGAAACTAAAATAGAAGTATTTATAATTACATCAGAAAAATAAAACAATGCGTATGAGCAAGCGAACCATAGTTTGATGGTATATGCATATATATTGTACGTTCATGAATACTTACTTTAGTTAATCAAATTATTAACAAAATTATAAATAGCCGGCCACATGCAAATACACCAAGAATACACCCAATCGTTCTTGAATCTCTTTAAAATTTATAACCTAATTTATATCTGTCACTGTTATCAACTGTACGTCAAAAATCAAAGCACAGATTCGAATCACATAACAGATCACACATCATATCCAAGCCAGAGATATAGCATATCGAATTTTCAGGGATGGGTTTTTATGCGTCATTTCATTATTACTTTTTTTACGCCAAATTTCAAACCATACTCTCTTTTGTCTGATAGTCTGAGGCATGTCTGAGGTCATATTGTTGTCATTTAGTTGGGTTTAAAAATATTCAAGGTTAACAGGAAAGCTGAAAAATAAAATATATTTAATGGGAACATTTAATTAATCATTAAGCACTACTACAAATATTTTGGTAAGTTACTGTTAGTCCCTTCAATATATTCGATTTATTTAATATTCTTATTTCCCTAACGGAAATGTCCACGTCAACCATTTCCCAACAATTAGGCTGAATTAGGTAGAATATACGTTAAATATACGAACAACATAAACATATTTTACGCTAGTTTATAGAATAGTTGTAGGAAGAATTAGCATCTAATTTGGGTATACCCTAATTTGTTGCCAAAAAATCATTTGTAGCAGAAGTAACGGTATACCGAAGTAAAAATTTGCAAGCATATTTTATTGAAAATTTATCGAACTTCTTATATTTTTTAAATCTTATTGTTTGCATATTTGCTATCAGACTTCTATTTTTTAATTCTTGATAAAGGTGGAAAAGTATTTTTATAATAAAAAGAGAATAGATAGAACGTAGGTAGAAATGGTTATATACAAACAAAACCTGTTGGCATAGACATGAACTAATAAAATATACCATGAATATACCCCTTTCACATGCCCCTTTCACTGCCCTTTCAAGTCTATCGAGACATATATAGGTATTCCGCTAGATTTCAACAATTGTCTACTGGTTTAAATGTGTCCCAAGTTACACAGTATTTTTTATAAAATGACACTGTTTGCAGTACTGTATGATATCAAAAAATATTTTTTTAATTGTCAAAATTGTAGGCATTTTGTAGCATGCTATGAGATTATTCCATTTTTTGATGAAAATATCAATACTTTTATTACTTCATGTATAACAAAACATTTATAAAGGTAAATAGTTACTTAAAAAATCCTCACATCAAAGAAGTTATTTTATGTTATTAATGTTAATTATGTTATGAACATTAACCCTTAACTGGTCCGGTAATAGATATGTATCATAAACGGTCCGGCGTAGTCTGTAGGACTACACCTTCTAAAAAGTTTAAAAACACAAAAACTAAAAAATAAAAAAAAATTATTTCATTATTATATTTTATTATGTATTATTAAACTAATGTAGACAAAATGGGTTCAATTAATATAAACTTTCAAAAAATATAAGTAGTACAAAATAAAATAACATATGTATGTTTGGTAAAAAAACAATATAAGTAGGTTTTTACTAAGCTCTAAAAATAAAACCAAATTACTAACAGTCAATACAAAATGGAAATAAGTTTTTAATACTATATGTAAAAAAGTAGGTTATAAAACTGGAGTTAAAGAAGAAGCTTTTAGTTACATGAGGCAAATTTCATTGTTTTCCTGAACATGTTTTACACGATGGATTCTTACATTCTAGGCATTAAAAATAATTAACTAGGACATAACATTGTCTTTGACTGGGATAACACTCTAGGATAAAAATATCTCCGTGGGCGTCTTCTGGTTGTACAGGAATTGCAGCTATTTCAATTGTAAAGCGTATTTCTCGTAGAATATTTGACATTGGGCGCGTTCAGGGACGGTCAGCGGCTGAGTGGCTGAGTAAGCGGTTTCCCTAAACGGTCACTTTTTACACGCAAAAACAGTCAGCCGCTGAGCAAAATACTCAGCGGTCGGTTCCTCATCATATCATTTTAATAGAGTTTCCTCATAACTAGAGCCTCCTAAATGCACTCTTTTCGAAGACCAGGTCCTATTTTACAAAAACTTGTAACCAATAAAATTTTACACAAACAGTCCGGCGTCGCGGCGTCGTCTGCGAGACTACGGCTTTAGTAACTTCTTCCAGAACTTCTAAAAAACTAATCCAGTTTTTGCACAAATATGCCTATCAGTTGTTGACCTAGAGGGGCAGGATTAGCTAGAACGCCAATCGTGTGGGCGGTCCCAGTAACTAATGAGACTGAGTTAATTATTTGGTGCAGTCTGTCAGACGACGCCGGACCAGTTAAGGGTTAATGGTAATTATGTTATTAATAAATATTAATTAAATTATTTATATTTATTGCCTATGTCTCAGTCCCGAAGTCCCAAAATGGGGACCAACATTTGAAAATTTGATAATTATTGGTTATTTTAATGAAATCAGCAATAAAATTAATATTTAGAATTAAATCCATGCATTACAAATAAATCCGACTTGAAAGGGTTAAGACCTAAATGTATTCTACATATGTATTTTGGTATGTAAAAAAAAAGGGAAATTAAAACAACTTTCGTTGCACGTCATCAATGACACCATGCGTCGTCTTATGGAGTTTGCTGGTGGTCGTATTATGATGTGCAACCAAAGAATTCCCAAAAAAAATTTCCCAAAGATGGGAAATTTTAATTTCCCATTATTATTAAGTCTCAGTCTCAGAACTACGTTGTGTCGCTGGCGAAATTACAAAAACAAACAATCGTAGTCATAGTTGTTAGTTTAGTAACTAAAGTCAAAATTGACAGCTGTTTGAATTTAGTACAAATATTGTTGGTTCTATGGCGTGTAGCCTCGTAACACTGCGTAGTTTTAGAACCACCTGAAAATACGATTACTAGCACTATTGCTGAACTACTCTGAACAAACCAATGAATATTTATTTCTATGTTATAAGTAAATTTTTATAGAGTAACTGCAGATATTTTATTCTAAGTTTCCAAACAACTGTCAAATTTGAGCATTATTAAATAAATAGCTTAGATTGCTAAGGATATTCCACGTTCGAATCACGTCAACGCTGTATGCCGGTTTATATTTTGTGTCTCTGTCTGTCAACTTATTATATATATTTATCTCTGTCGTATGCATTGAAATACAGGCCACGGATAGGTATGCAGAATGAATTATGCGAAATACACTGTGTAAATCACAATGTACATATCTATTTATTTTCAGTCTCCATTGTGTATATCCTAGATTATATGTGATATATTTTTTTTGTTAATTTAGCCATGGGTTATAACAGCTTGTCAGTGTTTGTGGCATTTCTACTAATTATCCATTCCTGCTTTGCACCACCTGTAACACAGAATAAACAAAATGGAAGTGAACATCCTCCCGATTCCGATATCGGTGGAATAGAAGATTATATGGAATATCACAGGTATCTCAAAGAAGTAGTTAATGCCCTCGAATCAGACCCAGACTTTCGACAAAAGTTAGAAAAAGCAGATGAGAGTGAAATTAAATCTGGGAAAATAGCTGATGAGTTACAGTTTGTTTCCCATCATGTCAGAACTAGGTAATATTATTTATAATAAATAGTTTTGTAAATAGTATTATATTGTAATTATTAGTAACCCATCAAAAACATAGAATGTAAAAAAACGCCGACGTAAGTATCGCAGCGCAATTCTTTCTCTACAAAATATTGTGAGATCTCATATAAAACCAAGTCAGATTATTTTATTAAGTTTCTATTCAAGCACTTATTCCACAATTTTCTTTTAAATTGTTAGTGTCAATATTAGACATCTCTATTTCTGTAATAATTATATTGACTTGGACGGTATGATATTTTACTAATTAAAATACTTTATTCTTAAGTTTGTTTGGATTTACTTGGTAATCGAAATGGTAGATCATTCTTTTATAATTATAGTTCCATGGAATCTAAACTATACTGTACTCAAAAACTGTAAGTGAAAAATTATGAGATATGAAAGTAGTTTCCAAAATTGTAAAATAAGATACTGAGTGTTCCATTTAAAATAACAAAAATACTACTAAAAAAAGTATTAAAATTCACCCTCAAGGCCCAACCTTTTAACATAGACTGTTATGTCCGAGGGTGATATGTTACCAAGGTCTGATAGGTCTAGCATGGTTTTCGCAAAAACCTCAAACCTGGCCCTGCTCCCAGCGAAGCAGGTGCACATAACGTGCTTCATGGTTTCATTACCTTACATACAGAGTCGGCATTCAGCGACCTCCACCAGTCTCATCCTCTACAGGCGTGATCTCAGTTTGCAGTTATCCGTGTATACTGCAGTGAGCGTACGCGCTCCATTCCTGCTGGCCTTTAAGAGCTCGAACGCACTGACGGCCTGCGGTGCTATTCTTGACATCGCTCGCAACTTTACATATTACATGTATTTGTATATTGCTTTCTCTGAGAAACGAGTGATATTTCAAGATGCGAGTGGTCAAGAATAGCTCCCCAGGTCGCAGCGGCCAGCCAACGACCACCAATCAAATGATACAACGCGCACTAACGTCCACGCCCAAGCGCAACGTCGCACGCGTCGCCTGCTCGTTTTTGTCGCCCACGTAGGACGAAGCGTAAGACTTACGTTTACTACTGTTTTGAGTTTGGATAGCCCTGCCAAGATTTCCTTGGCATGTTTCATTCTGGGACTGTCATTCCAGTTCTGAAACGTCATGCCCTTAACCTAGGGTTGCCAACTTTCAAATATAACAAATAGAGGACGAGAGGGTAAAAAAGAGGCTCAGGCGAAACATTTTTTGCCCAAATGTCTAGAATTTACCAAAAAGTTATGTAAACGTTATGCAATTGATGGTCTTTCTTACTTTCTTAAAAATAGTTATACTCAAAACTTGTTAAAATAAAACTAACCATTTTCAAGAAAACTTTTCTTTTTAAAACAAACATAAGCTTGGTTTGGTTTAATATATATGTTACGGTTAAAGTCTGATGTCCGGTTAATGTCGACATTACCCGGTTAATCTCGAGAATAACACAAAACAAAACAACCAAAAACATAACCTAACCAAAAGACACAGATTAACAATTTTTTAAAGCATTTTGGCGATAGACAAATATTTTTTAGATTTTGATTTTGGTATGTAAAAAAAGAGGACTTTTGCAATACACGAGAGAAAAGAGGACAGTGAGATCAAAAAGAGGACTGTCCTCTGTAATAGAGGACGGTTGGCAACCCTACCCTAACCCATTCACAGAGCCGGTCTCTTGCGAGATTTTTCAGAACGCCGCGCCGTGTTGGTTAGACTCACGTATGGCAAACCTGCACCTTTTTTTGGCGAGTGAGTCAGCACGTTCATTTCCCTCTAGGCCGTTATGTCCCTATATCCATATCAGAGGAACTCTGTTCTTATCTCCTAGTAAATTGAGTAGTTTCTTTATACAATGAAGAAACTACTCAATTTACTAGGAGAAAATAGTTTGTTCAAATGGACGAATCGTAAGAGTCCTAAAAAACTAAATGCCCATCACTAGATTACATTCTTAGATATTCTTTAAATAGATTAGACGAAATCAAGAGGATTGAGTTGCAAAGGTTAAAAGACCTTACAGAGCAGAAACGAAAATTGGAGAAAGAAGTAGAGTCAAATGGAATAAACGGAAACAGCATAGATATTCATCATCATTTGGACCAAAATAATCCTCATACCTTTGAAATAGAAGATCTGAAAAAATTAATAGCTAAAACTACTCAGGTACTTGGTGACTCAGTTTATATTTTTAATTAGAAATGTTTAAATATAATAGATTATAAATTAAATGTGCATCTTGTTTTTATTATTTAAGTTTCTTAAAATTTTCTTTCTTACTCAGATTTCTGAAGTTAACTTCTTTAAACAAATATCTATATAGATATCTGAGTTGTAATAAGTATGATACATTTATAGGACCTTGCTGAAGCCGATAAAAGGAGAAAAGAAGAATTTAAGAGATATGAAATGGAGAAAGAATATGAAAAACAAGAGAAATTGAATCATACTAATGGAGCTGAAAAGGAGAAACTTCAAAAGGAATATGAGGTTAGTAAATGTCCTGTATTTTTTCATCAAACTGTTTCGAATGGGATCTTTAGACGAGGTAACGAGTTTTTTTTATTAGCAAATAGCGATATTTCACCAAATATTAATAAAAAAAATCAAGTGTATTAAACAACACAAACAAAATAAAATATAATATTTAAGTTAAAAATTAGCATTCCTATGTGTTGTTAGAATAAAACACGTAAATAAAATACGTACTAAATAAATATAACAAGAGTAAAAACTAATTATAAATAGCTAGGTGTAATAAAATTTAATATCAAAAAAACTTATTAAGTTAAATAATATTAACCTAATTAATGAAACTACGAGTATATAAATATAATAAGTAGGGATTTAAGTATCCTTTTAGGAAAATAAGTAACGGGTTTTGATCAGTCATATCTAGAATTATTTTTTTTTCTATGGGAAAACTGTAGTAACTCACAGCTATATTTTTTTAATTTATTTTTTAGGTAGAAAAAGCACAAAAATATTGAATTACTTAAATTGATTTAAGACAATTAGATTTTGTTTTGTTTACATTTTTTTGTAAAAATTCGGGTTCAACTTTAGTAGATGAATGAGACAAATATTTTCTAAAGATATCATCTTCTTCAGACATGCCGGCAATACCACACGTAATAAGGGATGATAAGTAGTGATGGGAAAACCCGATTAATTTCAATAATCGAGTACTCGAGTTTCAAGCGATTGCAATAACCGAGTGATCGCTCGAGCGAAATATCACTCGTATTTAAAAATACGGTTTTTCACCCGTCGGTCGCTTGTTGTAAGCGCCTAGCAGTAAGTTGCGTGCGCAGTGATGAATAGCAAGTAGCCAGCGGCGAGCGATTCGCTTGATCGCTTGATTTAGTTTATTTCAAAGCATTGTCGATGCAGGTCGTAAAATTTTGTCCCTCAGATACGCAACGGATAAATATATACAGGGTGGCGCACCTCATTCGCCTCGGTTGATTATACGAAAACGGAAAGATGTAGAAACATAATTTTTTATGGGTATATGTAGAAAGGCAATGTGCATAATTTAAAATTATTTTCAAATGTACAGAGTGTGTCAGAACTATATATCTATACCAAAGTTATATTTTTTCTTATGGAACACCCGGTATTTTATTTAATTTTTGGATTCTTCGGCATAAAATAAGGCATTTATTATAAGGGTTCAATATGTTTAAATGCTTTGGTTTTTGAGATATTTAAAGATATTTAAATATGCATGCTGTAATAAAAAAGTTTGTCAACACCCTGTACATTACTTTTCAGAGTTAATTCTAGTGCTGACTTTGAAGCCAGGGAAATAAACTTTACTAAAAAAAAATTATTGCTTCCTTAAATGTATAAAGGGGTATCAAAATTTGCTGGTCTATTTTAAATATTTATTTTAACTAAAAACTTCGTTATTTCAAATACAACACCCAGTATTTTTTAAAATAAATCGAAGCAGATTTAAATGCTCTTTCAAACTGTATTAGGGTTTCCTATACCTATCTAGCTCAGATTTTGAATAAAAAGCGATTTTTCAATAAAATGGCAATCAAGATGACTGGTGTCGCCATGGAATTTGCTAGTGACAGTTAGTAGATGTTTTCAAAATCGACATTAGTTTATAGACCTTATTTAAATTTATTTAACAGTTTACTTTTATTTAATTTACCTACAATAGTTTAATAAGTAGGTATTTATTATTTTATCAAGAAAAATAAAGAAGTAGTCCTTTTTGATTTATATTACGATGACTTGTAGAAATATGGGATTTTCTATAAAAGAACCAATTAAGGCAAATTCACTTTCTTCACTCCCAACGACAGATTTCTGCCTAATAGGGTTTTTCATATACCACACTATCAGCTCTGCGAAATAGGAAAAGTTGTTTTTCAAAGGAACGCTTGTCAAGAAAATTCATATTTGGACATCTTTGAGCATAAACTCTTCAGGCTAACACCCCCCCCAAGCAATTGTCCTCACAAAATAAAACCACTAGTAACATATCCATTCCTTCGGCAGATACTGCGTCATTTTTCTTGATAAAATAATAAATACTTACTTATTAACCTTATTGTAGATAAATTAAATGAAAATAACCTGTTATAAATTAAAATAAAGTCCATAAACTAATGTCGATTTTGAAAATAGCTACTAAGTGTCACTAGAAAATTGCCATAGCGACACCAGCCATTTTGATTACAATTTTATTGAAAAATCGCTTTTTATTCAAAATCTGAGCCAAATAGGTATAGGAAACCTTAATACAGTTTGAAAGAGCATTTAAATCTGTTTTGACTTATTTAAAAAGATACAGGGTGTTGTATTTGAAATAACGAAGTTTTTATGTAAAATAAATATTTAAAATAGACCAGCAATTTTTAATACCCCTGTATACATTTAAGGAAGCAATCAAGTTTTTTAGTAAAGTTTATTTCTCTGGCTTGAAAGTCAGCACAAGAATTAATTCTGAAAAGCAATGTACGAGGTGCTGACAAACTTTTTTATTATAGCATGCATAATTAAATATCTTTAAATATCTCAAAAACCAAAGCTTTTAAACATATTAAACCCTTATAATAAATGCCTTATTTTATGTCCAAGAATCCAAAAATGAAATAAAATACCGGGTGTTCCATAAGAAAAAACATAACTTTGGTATGGATCTCAGTTTTGACACACCCTGTACATTTCAAAATAATTTTAAATTATGCACATTACCTTCCCACATGCACCCATAAAATATTTTGTTTCTACATTTTTCCGTTTTCGTATAATCAACCGAGGCGAATGAGGTGCGCCACCCTGTATACGGCGTCGTATAAATTTGCTACCTGCAATGTATGTAGAAATTTCGCTCGGCTTTTTATCGTGTAGGTCACATTAAAATCGGATTTCAATTTATTTCATTCTAGGATCGCTTGCGTTCGTCGCTTGGTACTCGTCACTTGCATCGCTCGTTCATAATCGAGCGATGTCGGTTATTTTAATAATCGAGTACTCGAGCGAATTTTCGCTCGAGTTATCCCATCATTAATAATAAGGATTTTCGGGAATGTCTCTGTAACTGTGCGACCAGACAGAACAATGACCTGTGATTTTTAAACAAAATTTAATAAACAATAATATATGAAAGTCAGATTACACGGGTTACGACACGGTGGTAATTTTTAGTTCAGATGTGTCAGATTTTTAGAAGTGTTTCTATTGTAAAGACGCCTTTGTAAATATCGTTGGATTTTTGTTTAAGTCGGTAGTTCGGTAGATTACAGACGAAATTGGTATAGTCTGTGAAACGAATAACTTTGAATTTGACTGTTCCCGCGGGTTTTTCTAGTGTTAATTTTATTAGGTTAGCAACCTGCGGCCATGTTGACGCAATGCCGTCTCTAATAGAACAGCCTCGGAGCGAGATTTATGACGTGACGCTAGTTAGATACTACGGATTAATAAATATGTTGTAGAATACATGAAAAACATAATCATAATTATTCCTCGTATTTTTGGTTTGTATTTTAAAAATGATATAGTTTAAATGAAATATTCATAATATACAGTTAATAAATAAAATATACATATATACCTATTTATAGTAATAAATACTTTGGGGCAAATCAACTATAAACCATACAAATGCAGAAAATGTTTTACAATATACAAATAATGAATAGGTAGATAAGATAATGGGTTAATTTTAAATGTAAAATATATTTTAAATTTTGGGGTTTGAAAATCGATCTAATTTAACAAAAAACATTCAATATCTACTGATAGTGATGTATTATTATTTGCATTCACAAAATTTATGTGTATATTTTGCAAGTATCAATGTTCGAAAAATTATATTTGCAAATAATACCACAATATCATCGAAAAAAAGGCGTCAGCGATGGCTATGAAATAAAGAACGCTGTCATTATATAGTATCTAACTAGCGTGACGTCATAAATCTTGCTCCGAGGCTGTTCTATTAGAGACGGCATTGGTCTGATATTTAGAAATGTCAAAAGCTGATGACATTTTACTTTTGACAATTATGGCATTTCGTGTTAATTTTTGCAAGAAGAGGAAGAACTGTCACTTGTTTTATTGTTTTCCTTTTCTATTTCATGAAAGTAAAAAGAGTTACCTATCTGATTCGTTCAGGCACTCAATTTAAAGAATATCAGTAATTTTTTGACAGAGGGATTTTATATTTGCCATGTTGGTGAAAAATAACGGTCAAAATTCAAAGTTATTCATTTTATAGACTATAGACCTGGCAACTCTCTGGCGGACTGTCGCGGAGTCGCGGGTGCCCGTGGTTACATTGGATGCGTGTCCGTGCGTTTTTTTGGCCGTACGTGCTCGGACGTGCACGCAGCAAAAAACAAACAAATGCATCGGAGTTTGCGCGTCCGTGCACGTACGTCAATTCCCGTTGGTCGGATGAAAACAAACTGGTTTGTTTTTTTTAATACGTGCACGTCCGAGCGTTCGAATTTTTATATCTCCGGGCCCAATACTGTCCCGAAAAATTTGAATATTTTTGAATACCAGGTTTATTTTTATTTAGGATATATTAATGTTGATGGAAAAAATATTCAAAAAATTTGACCGGTTGCTGTTTTAATTCATCAAATATTTTATATATTCATTTTCTTCTCCTTTTCTTGCATATAAATCATTTACCCAACATTTTCTTTTGTTCGTAAGTAGTTATTTTAACATTAAATCTTCGGACAGCATCAAAGTAGTGGCATCCGTTTTGACAAACTCGACACTCAAGACACCCTGAACGCGCATGTTAATGTAACCACTAAAATAAAATAGTTGTGCGAGTAAATTCCGTCAGAGCTTTTTTAAACGTGCAAGCCATATGTAAAATATTTCGTGAATTCAAACAGCAACCGGTCAAATTTGTTGAATATTTTAGAATGTTTCCATCAACATTAATATATCCTAAATAAAAATAAACCTGGTGTTCAAAAATATTCAAATTTTTTGGGACGGTATTGAGCCCAGAGATATAAAAATTCGAACGCTCGGACGTGCACGTATTAAAAAAAAACTAGTTTGTTTTCATCCGACCAACGGAAATTAACGTACGTGAACGGACGCGCAAACTCGATGCAATGGAACCGCCTGCGTAGATACCATTTGTTTGTTTTTCGCTGCGTGCACGTCCGAGCACGTACGACCAAAAAAACGCACGGACAAGCATCCAATGTAACCACGGGCTAAAGGGTAGGGGTTGGAAGGCGGCGGCGTTTCCGAAATATGTTGTCTTGTTGGAGTTTGGTTAACTCGACAGTCGTAGTGGAAGTGAAAACGGGGAAGTTGTTGTCCGTCTCTATTTAACCTTAGACTTTATAGGCGTTACATTTCAATGCATGAAAACTGGGGTGCAAAACTGCAAGAAGTGCTTTGCCTGCAGTGTATAGCATATTTTGTTTTAGGAACTAGAGGCAAAACATAAAAAACACGAAAAACTTCACGAGCCAGGACATAAACAGCAATTAGAAGAAGTATGGGAAGAGCAAGATCAAATGCAGCAGGACTTCGATCCAAAAACTTTCTTCATGTTGCATGATATAGATGGAAATGGACTGTGGGATCAGGTAAATTGATTTATTAAGTAGAAAAGGTGAAGGAAAAAATTATATGAAATGACTTAACCACATTAATGATTTTCAGGATGAAGTAAAAGCTTTGTTCATAAAAGAACTGGATAAAATGTACCAACAAGGAGCGCCTGAAGATGACATGAGGGAACGTGTAGAGGAAATGGAAAGAATGAGGGAAAGAGTATTTACGGAAATGGATTATAATAGAGATGGTTTTATTGACTACAGAGAATTTCAGCAGCAAACATACACGGATAATTTTAAGCAAGATCATGGATGGCAGGTAAATTAATAAAGTTGGAGAGATATGATAAATTTTCACTTTTACTATACTTTATATTTTAATGTGCTTTAGGGTTTAGATGAACAGACCAAACCTTACAGTGAAGAAGAGTTGGCCGAATACATTAGACAACATCATGCGGCCAATCAGATTCCACAGTATGATTATATGCCACATCAACAGGTAATAAATTATATTTACCATGCATAACCTAATGTAAATCTAAAATTATTATTGTGTACAATTATATTAATTGTACCGTAAATTTTAAAGGTTCATCCAGGATATCAACAGCCTCAAGGAGGTTATCAACAGCCTCAAGGAGGTTATCAACAGCACCAAGGAGGTTATCAACAGATTCCACAGGGATATCAACAGGTTCAGCAAAACCAACAATTTCATGCTGGTCAAGTACCACCTCAGCATTCAGTAAGTGGTTAGGCATGCATCAGTAAATGAAAATAATATATTATAATTTTTCTTTGAAGGATTTAAATACAAATGAAGTCTACCAAAATCAGCAACCTCCACCTCAGCAATTCCAACAAGTGCCACAACAACAGTATAATCAGCCTGGACAAGGTAATCCGCAAAATGTTCCTTTGAATCAAAATCAACAACAGTTCCAACATGTACCACAGCAACAGTTTAATCAACCTGGACAAGCTATTCCCCAAAATATTCCTGTAAACCACAATCAGCAACAGTTCCAGCAAGTACAACATCAACAACTTAATCAGCCAGGGCAGGCGAATCAGCAACAGGTCAACAATGCACAAAATTATCAAGCAAATGTACCTTCTGCTCAAATTCAGTACCAACGAACAAATTTTGGTAATCAACAATTTCAGCAACAACATCAAGATGTTGCTAATCAACAACAACCTGGTGTAGGCGTGAATCAACAAGTAAATGCCCAACAAATTTCGAATAACAATCAGCCATCTAGTAATTTAAATCAACAACATAATATTGGGAATGTGCAATCTCAGCAAAAAGTGAATAATATGCCACCTCCCCAAGTTAATCAGGTTTAAAATTAAAAGTATCAAATATGAATATTCCCAGTGATATTTAGACTATATTCCGTATAAAATCAAGGTCATTACACTAGAAAAGCTTTTTGATAACTGTTGGACCAATCAGGGCACTGTATTATAATGCGTCATAGGGAGGAAATTGAGTTTTTTTTATATTCATTAAAATATGTAGCTTATCACAGATATAATGTACATTAATTAAATAAAATCATGATATGAAACACTATGACGAGAAATTTTCCTTCTCTCGCTTCTATATGACCACTTATAGATCATACCAAATAAACTTTTAGTCGCGTGATTAAGCCTGACTGGCACAGTGTAGCCGACTTTTATATAATTTCTATAATTTCTTTTAATCAAAATACTTTTTGAAACAAAAATGAATTATTTCTGTGACTAAGGCAGAACCCGATATGTCAATAGGAAAATAATGTTAACATATCCGGTTTTGCCTTATGTAGTAGCACAGAATTATAAACATATATACAGTTATTTACATCAACGAAACTCACCTCCCTAACAGCATTTAATAGACATAAAGAGCCATTATTATTGCGTTCCCATTCAAAATATTCTAAAAAGGGGTACAATGAGTTTTTTCAACGGCTGTTAAGCTGCTTCGGCATCTTGTAGATCTCGCACTACAAGCTGTTTTAAAAAGAACAATTTTCGACAGCAAGGTCTGTTTGTACAGCATTTTAAGCCTAAAATATTACTGTGAGGTTCTCTTCCTTTTTGAGAACGCTTACGGACGCCGAGTTGCCTTGGTTCGGTACTCGGGCGCCACCCTCAAAGTTTATAGTGTTTGAGAGACCACTAGTGCCAGTACGGGTAGTTTTTATACAGTGGAGATACCAGGGAGTGATGAGATGAAAAGAAAATAAAACACACAATTAACTATAACGTAACACTAGGTTTTTATTTAACAAATTAATTATGTACAAAAGTAATCAAAGAAAGTTTACGTTCTGGAATTGTAACAATAGTAAAATAAAATGTATGTTTAGCAACCCGTAAAGCAAAATTTATAATAACAACCGTGTACCTCTAGAGTTCTGATCAATTATTCCCAATACGCAACTCTCTGACTGACTATCACTCGAACACAAGACGCGTTCCCGAAGTGACGTTCTGTTATACACAGAGACGCGGTTCCCGGATCGGCGGCGATTTTAACAGCATCCCGTTGGACACGACGACGCGAGTCCCAGATCGGCGTCGGAGTTAGTGGCGTCCCATTGAACACAGACGTAGGTACCGGAGCAACACACTCTACCGCGACGCGACTCTCTAAGCGGCGGCGACGTCGTTACAGGCGTCCCGATGGTCACATTACGGCGAAACACGGACCCCGGATCGGCGTCGGAGTTAACAGCGTCCCGTGGCGCACAGACGCGAGTCCTGGATCGACGTCGAAGTTAGCGACGCCTCGGCGAGTTGTACACCGTCCGCATTAGCGCGGCACGCACACACCGCCCGGTCAGGACAGCCTCGGGATATCGGCGAGATCCCGTCCAGCGTCACTGTTGCAGGGTGCCGTCCGGACGACACACATAGAGAAAAGCGGGCGCGACAAAACCAGCCTCGCGAGTTGGGCGAGATCCTGTTCAAGCACCATAAATATCCGCGACCCGTGCGTTTAATGAACTACCTTGGACCTTTATTTAATGAACTACCTTGGACCAGAAAAAAATTAATCATTAACCCTTAACTAGCTTTTCCCGAGAGGTACGTTCTACCGGAGCAGATGTCAGACAGAACCCCGAAGGGCCACGATTCCCGACGACCTGCCCAAGCACCGCGTAGTCCCTCTTTTGCCTGGTCGGCAACCCTGGTAATTTTAATGTCAATAAAGGAAACTAAGGTCTAGGAAACATTTTCTAGATTGACAAAGAGTTTCAGTTTACAAAATAAATGGTATTTGTTTTTTTTTTATATAAAATTTATGTAATAAAATTGCATCTCATTACCTGCATATGCGTAGGAATTTGATATTAGTCGCTCGGTTAACACGTTATCTGGAATATCTGTCTAATTCGCGAATTAGCTGTGTTAACAGATATAACTAGTGATAAGATAACTCGAGCGAAAATTTGCTCGAGTACTCGATTATTGAAATAACCGACATCGCTCGATTATGAACGAGTGATGCGACAAGTGACGAGTTACGAGCGACGAACGCAAGCGATCCTAGAATGAAATAAATTGAAATCCGATTTTAATGTAACATACTCGATAAAAAGCCGAGCGAGTTTTCTACATACATTGCAGGTAGCAACTTTATACGACGTTATCCGTTGCGAATCTGAGTGACAAAATTTTACGACCTACATCGACAATGCTTTGAAATAAACCTCGAAATAAACCAAATCAAGTGATCAAGTGAATCGCTCGTCGTTTGCTACTTGCCATTCATCACCGAAAGAATATGTGCTCTGCGCACGCAACTTACTGCTTGGCGTTAGAAGTACAACAAGCGACAGGCGAAAAACCGTATTTTTAAATACGAGCGATATTTCGCTCGATTATTGAAATCGCTTGAAACTCGAGTACTCGATTATTGATATTAATCGTTTTTTCCCATCACTAGATATAACCAATTATATTGTATAACTAATAATCTATCTAACCGGATAATTTGCGAACATTTTAAAATAAATTTGTTTCTTTTAGCATTAACCGACTGTATTGGTTAATTCTTATTCTAGCTGGCTAATTTCGTGTGTTATCTGTTTTTATGCCGGCTATTTCGTGCATCGATATAGCTATTAAAAACTATTCTAGTCTAATGATACTTGGGTATATAGGCTAACACGTATCCAATAGTTGGCGCCAGTATTACGGGATGCCAGCACTGACATGCTGAAGGCGCCGTGTAAACTCTTCTGTACTATTTGACACAAAAAATTGTTTAATGGTGCCGCTACTATGCTAGTTCTGTTGTAGCATACTAGTGATATAGGAACTGCTTCTGGAACTACGAGTACTGCAAATTATCCTTTAAACTGGTAATAAAGTCATAACATTGTATTTTTAGTTTTAATATTGAATTTTTAGTCTTTCTCTAAAAGTTGAGGAATATCAATAGTTATACAGGGTATCCCATAAATAAGTGGAGTAAAGTATTTTAAGGACTGGTAGATCTCGATAAAAGATACATATTTTCTCTTTATCGTTTTTCAAATAAGTCTAAAATAACGTACTTATTTTACTTTGAAAATTTCCAAAAAAAATGATTTTTTGCTAAAATTTTGAGAACCACTGGATCTTTTCTGGATTTTCTTTCTTGTAAATTTAATCTCATACCTATGTTGCCATATTATCAAGAAATTATGTTTTTTAACTAAAAAAAATCCCAAAAAATTTCGATTTTTAAAAAAAAATTTCTGGGACACCCTGTATAATAAAATATCGTGTGTTAGTGGCGCACGTTTCTGAAAAAAAATACACGACAAAAATAGTAGTGTTTTTTTATGTTAATTATTATCCCAGGTGTAATTTACTAATTAATGAAGAATTCATTTATGTAAACAATTACATAAAGTAAGAAATTGTGAAAACTCTACCTAACCCCATAAATTAAATACTTTTATTTTTATTGGTGTGGAATTTTACACCACACTCCAGGATCTATGTATTTGACCTACAAATGCTATCATAGAAATCGGCGTTCCTAACCAAAGATATAAATTGGTTTGAATCAAGCTCAGAAATGTTTTAAAGATATAGTGTATTTCTAAATCCTGTTCTACTGATTAATATATTAGTTTTATTTATGTGATATGCTTAGGTAAAATAATCTGTTATTTATATTTGTCACTTTTTTATTTATATTTATTAAAGGGTAGTAATAACTAGTCTTTGGTTTGTGTTATTCTCCTATTAGTCTAATGGTGCGTTTAGACTTGAGCACGCACGCACTGATCCTTCGCGAATGCTCAAGTGTAAACGGTCAGTGTCACTCTGAATCTGTCTGTGCGCGAGCAGCCGCAAACGTGTGCCGTCTGATGTCGGTTTTTGGTCCGTGCACAAAAGAAATGATGTGTACGCGAACGCTCAGTTTACACCGGCAATTTGTTTTGTCTGCGTGCGTGCGTGCCTTCACTAACACAACTCTACCGGTCGCGCATAAATGGATCACTTATTCATTCGTCGAAAAATAAGTTTTTAATTTAAACGGATCTGAGAGTGCGCGTACGAATGCTGTGCGCGTACGCTCAGCTCGTGCGTGCTCAAGTCTAAATGCACCATAAGAGTAAAGGTTGTCGCCCACTAGACCGCTGCGCGGTGCGGCGCTGGGAAGAGAATTTTTTCCGGCTGCGAAGGGACTGCGCCCACTATAGCGCGCTTTTGAAACGCGGCAACGCTATTTAGTTATAGTCGAAGTGTTTTTTACTTACTATAGTTTAGTTTTTAAAGCAATGAGTTCAAGTACGGACGAAAGCATATTTTTTGTGCTCTTCTAACAGAAGAAGAGGAAGAGGGGGTGAGGAAAAGTTTGGACTCATACGATTAACAAAAAAAGAAAGAAGTTTGGAGAATTTTACCATCTTTTTCCAGATTTAATAAAAGACAAAATCATTTTTTCAGTATTACAAAATATAAAGGAAACATTTTACGCACTCCTCAATTGAGGGTTTTAGAAGAAAAAACACCGGTATATCTACTCATCATATTTTTCAGAAGAGACAAATTACTAATATTTTGATAATTCTTATTTATTCTGATGTGTATATTAGTTATGTGGTCAAAAAACCCTGATCTTTTTATATATTTAGGTAATTAGAATTTAAAAATTGGAGATTGTCACTTTTGTTAAAAAGTGGGGTTGCCAGTTTTGCCTCTACACCCTCAATTATATTAAATCTTTGATAGAAAGGCATTTCGTCCATCTGTCTCTAGTGAGGGAAGACTAAAAAAATATCATATTCCTTTATGAAAATCGATTTGCCTAATTTACCTTTAAAAATAGAATTCTGCCATTGATACATATCACTAGTTCCTAGTCAAAAAGCCAACTGAAAAGACTCGAATGCAAAATTATCTGCCTTGTGAGTACGCACACTGCAACGCGTCGAAACGCGGGAGACGGAAAAAAGTTGCTAGAGAAGTCTTCCGACTTCTTGACGGAAATTCCGTGGCGCGCTTCTGCGCTGCGCCCTCTAATGTACGTTGGTCCATTTAAATACATGGCAAGCAGACAAAAGAAATTTCCACATGGCGCCGCGCCGCGTCGCGCCGCGGTCTAGTGGGCGACAACCTTTAGCCACGTTTTTGAGAGATATATCTTTTGCTATGCTATGCTGTCTTGAACAGCGTGCGGGTCATCGCTACCAGTAGACGTTGCGTTCACTACTGCGCATTACATCTGCACAGGGTATCCCAGTTTCGTATATATTATGGGATTTCTCTTTTATTAGTGGAGATACAACTATGCGGTTTTCACATTACTCTGCTACTTTGTTATGAAACTAAATATGTTACACATAGAATTGTCCTAACCTTCTTAGTTCTTGAAATACAGCACTAATTTGAGATTGAGCATTTTTCGACACCCGTCGTATGTCAGTTATCTTAGACTTATCGAACGGTGAAATTATCTAAAAGGTGAAAATGTTTCCCGTAGAGTTTTTAGTTTTCCCGTAGCGTAACTAGTTTTCTGCTGGGAGTTGTTATTTTCTAAGACTCAAACTTATGTATTTTTAATGGGATACCCTATATATTATTTATTTTATTTGCCTTGTTATGAGCTTTCTAAAAATATAATATACTCTATACATATTTTCATAAATAAGGTAAAAATGCATTATTTAACTTTTTAGTCAAGACTAATTTAAAAGAGTATCATTATTTAATTTAATTTAACCAGATAATTTCGCTTTCCATCGTGTTATCTTAACAAACTGAACTGAACAAGCTGTCAAGCACATATATTGATATTTTAGAAAAAAATCACACACAGAAACTAGCATGAAATAGCCAATAATAAAAATTTGACGTCGAATAAATTATTCATTTTTTTTGATTAGCTAATTTAAACTGGCCATCTATGATAAAATGTGAAATAATGCGTTTCTAACATTGTTTATGAAAATAAGTATATAGTATACAGGTTGTTACTGCACAGTTATTTATAGGCGAACAGAATGGCAACACTGCCTATGGAGAACGCATGCACTTATAGGGTTTTTTGTCGACTCGTCCCGTCGCGTCGTCTACCGACGACCGGACCGAGGTTGCCATATTTCAACCATAAAGCTCTTGCCGCGAGTAATAAACAAATTAACAACCTGTATATTTTTAGAACGCTAATAATATACATACATAAGTTTGGTTATCTTTTAATAACTACGATGGCTCCCAGCGAAAAACAAGTTACGCCACTGAATTCTACGTGAAAATTTCTATGAGGATCAGTTAGTTATATAATATACAAAACAATTAATAAAAAAGGCTGAAAACGCTTCATTTTTTATTATTTATAAATATTTTTGAAACTATCTAAACATATTTAATAATAACTTAGGATTCTGTAAAGCGATCAGAAAGGAAGCCAAAAATGCAATAATATACAGGGTGTTCCGTTTAAAAAAATCATCCCGATCCACTCACTTTTTTGAGTCACCCTGTAGAAGTTAAAATATTTTCCTGAAATATATGCTGACACATATTTAGGTTGGCACTTTACAAAATTCCTAAGTTTTTTATTACGCAGGAGCTACAGATGACCGACCATGACCGACGTACTGTTGCCGGGCCCGTAGGAAAAACCTTGAACCGTGGCAAACCCCTTGAATTGCTTGGAATCAGAAACTTTACATTAGTAAATTTAGATCACTGAGAAGTATGGATTTTCGTAAGAAAAACAGAAAAAGCCTTTCATATTTTCTGGAAATTATGATATAGTTTCAACTTAGAAAGTATTCTTTAATAATATTTCAATATGGTTCATGAAGAGGAAATAAAAAAAAATCAAATAAAATTACAGATACCTATATTTAGCTTGCTAAAACAAAATAATATACACAGAGTGACACAAAAATGCTTCAATTCACAAAATTGCCCCTAGAAGCAATTTAATGAAATAAAATACTATAAATGAAACCCTTTCCGATCTTCATTTGCCCAAATACACAAAAAAAATATATTTTATATTCAGGGACTCAAAAGAAGTTATTTCTAAAGTTATTATATATTTTTTATATGCATCTATATGATTATTTTCAACTTTTTTCAAATCCCTACAACGAGGAAATTTATGATGTGAATCATTTTGCACAGAGAAGGCAATTTATTTTGAAAGAAAAAACTATTTTAATGAAAATCTGGTAATAAGGAATATAATTAATTCAAAGTGACAGCCAAGTCGTCATGAAAGTTTTACCAAATTCTCAAAATCATTATATCATTATGATATTATATCATTACTGCTAAATAACCTGTAATAAGTTAATGATTAGAACCCCCTTTTAAACATACAATTAAACCTGCTGAAAAAACTTATAGATGAAATAATGTAATTAATATGTAATAGATTTTGAGACTGTGTGATAAGAATGAATTTGAAAAGAGTAATGATATTGTAATACGGATTTAATTTTTTAACAATCTGTATATATATAAAACACTCACAATAAATGTTTAAACAGTTATATTTTTCAAATCTAAAGAACCAGTAGCTACACTGATTTATACACACTAAACTTTTTATATATATATAAATAATTATAAACGTAAAAATCACTGTAAATCTCAAATACTAATAGTAAAAAATTCGTCAGTAGAATTATATTTCATTATGGACAAACCAGACAATAAATTATTAAATAACATGCAAGCTTAAAATATTTTGATCATATGAAATACAAATCGAACAGCTTATTCTACTGACACAACACTGAAAATGAATCGGTTATTGCAAGTGGGGTGTTTCAGATAAAAAAATATTTTTATCTTTATATTTTTTTTTATTAATTAAACACTAATATATACAACAAAAATGAAACGGCGTAGCTTGCAATAATCTATATAAATTTTAAAGACCAACATAACAAAATTTTATTTGAAACACTCCTAAAAACAAAAGTGCAATATAGCAAATTTCTAATCTTTGTCAATGAATATTCACAGTGTTAATTTAAATGTCGGTGTGCCATGCACTAGTTTTTGAGTATTCCATAAAAACACTGATTAATTTTTAACAACGGTCATTGATACCTAAAAATATGCTGTCAAATGAAATCTAATGATGTTTCAGTTTATATTTACTACTATTATTTATACAAGAGTTTTTATAGATTCTTACTTCCACCAGTAGAAATTATAAAGGTCGATTTATAGTTTATTTATTGGCATTAAATTCGAAATACTTCCCATTAAGATTACCATAGTGTTTGCAGCCATTTATTGCATATTTACATATTGATAATAAGTTAAGTTCACATTAAAGTCTACTCCAGTTTGAAATTGATTCATACTCAGAGGTTTAGTGAGAAGTTTAATGAAAAAATACATGTCTACAATAATATAAATAATTAAGCTTAAGTAAATTGTTATTGAATTAAAATCAGATACACATTTGGCTCAGTCAGTGAGCGACTTACCACTGAAAAATTTAGTATTTATTTATAGTACAGTAAATATAATGGGTAAAATTTCTATTTAGATGTATTCTTTTACTTTGTATTAATATACATTATAGGGGTGTTTCAAAAGACGACAATTTCTCCTTTCAGAGTACAAATTTGCCAAAAACTATACCAAAGATACCTGAAACAAAAATATAATTAGTTTGGTTTGGTTGTGAAGTAACCCTTGTGATATATATATATACAGGGTGAGTTTCCTACGATGTTCTCTATGGGTATCTTGGAAACTGCTGGAGATAGAGAGTCGGTTAAATGGGGAAAGAATTGCAGTTTTGTGGGGTCATAAATATGCGCCTTTCAGATTTATGAAAAAGTTCATGGCTTACTAGATATTTTGAAAAAAAAACAAATTTCGGCTATTTTAAAAATTGTCCCTAATTCCATTATAAGCTATTTTAGACAAAAAGTTTTCAGATAAAAGTTGTAGATAATCACATCCTTAATGAGATCGTGTCCTCTGTTTTTTTCTAAAGCCTGTCATTTTTGACATATCACACAAACATAAGTTTTTTAAATGGAAAAAAAATTATATAAAATATGTTTTCTTCGAAAAATTACTGAGTTATAACCAATTCTTATCATTTTTAAACAATTTCACTTAGTTAGCCATGGAAACAAGTTCAATCGCTGTTACTCTCAGAAATGTGAAGCTGTCACATTCAAACTTTGTAAATTAAAATAAACAAAAATTGTAAATATGAATTACTCAAATGAAGAAAAGCGTGTAGATACTCGCGCATCAATAGAGTGTTTCCAAAATGACTTTCATTATGGCCCCCCCCCGCATAATGAAAGAAATGTTAAAAACTATTGATATCATAATAATATAAACTCAGGGATAGGAAGAGGTGGACTAATTGCATGGGCCTCCTCGATCACCTGACCTATCCATTTTAGATTTTTTTTATGCGGTATGGTTAAAAATAAGGTTTACAAAATAACTTATGAATTAAGAGAGGCACTCGAAGTGGCGGTACGAGAGAAGTTTAATTAAGTCAACCGGTCCTTTTGTGAAAATAAGTAATAATTCAGTTTTAAAAAGATGTAACTCTCAAAACAATGGCGGATTTTTTGAACATTTTCTAAAATAACTTAAAGTGTATGCAGTGACTGCAGCGATATTATTTTTTTTAAGTTTTAGTTTGTGTAATGTAAATTCTAAAGAACTGTTTAGTAATATATTCTGACTTTTTATAAGTTATAAATCACAAAAGAATAAGAATGCCATGCAATCTAAGTGAAATTAGTCAAGAAAGATAAGAATTGGCTATAACTAAATTTAACTTTTCTAACAAGTCTTGAAAATCGTTCTCTAAAAACATAACATTCACCGGTCAACGTATCCTCGAAAATGTATGGTCAAGAAAAGTTGAACCAATAATCTTACACGCTTTTCTTCATTTGAAAAATTCATATTTACAATTTTTTGTTTATTTTAATTTACAAAGTTTGGATGTGGCAGCTTCACATTTATAAGAGCAAAGACGATTGTTTCCATGGCTAACTAAGTGAAATTATTTAAAAATGATAAGAATTGGCTATAACTCGATAATTTTTCGAAGAAAACATATTATAGCTTATATCGCTGAAAAGCTTAAAAAATGGCACTATTTATAAAGTCATGACCAACTATGGTTTCCATTTAAAAAACATATGTTTGTGTCAAATGTCAAATATGACAGGCTTTAGAAAAAAACGGAGGACACAATCTCATTAAACATGTGATTATCTATAACTTTTATCTGTACCCTGTATTTTATGCAATAATATACAGGGTGTTCCATTTAAAAAAAATCATCCACGTCCACCCACACCTTTTTGAGCCACCCTATAGAAGTTAAAATATTTTCCTGAAATACATCCTGGTACATACTTTAGGTTTGCACTAAAACAAAATTCTCAAATATTTTATTCTATGAGCTACAGATGCCCGACGCACTATTGCCGGACCCTGTATATATATATATATATATATATTTTTTTTTTCTCGTCTTGCTAGAGAATGCTAGAATACTGATCGGATCATTGTAAAAGCGTGGTCTGGATTTTAACGTGTAAGACAGTGATGTAGACAGCTTAATGAAAAATCAAATGTATTAAAAAGAGATACAAGTTAGGTTGATACATTTCTTCTAAGCGGTATTGCTGGATTTTTCATAAAAATTTCAAACCGCACAAGTAGGCATTTACGAAAAATGTTGCATCTAGGTTTGGAACTTTATATTCCACAATTAGTTACTCATTTTACTACAGCTGTAATAGCTTATATATATTTAGTTTAGATATGTTAACTTCAATGCAGTAGATGTTATCTTCAATTCAGATCAATTCAGATCAGTAGTATACGTGAAAGTTTTTAAAATAGTTTATTTTTTTTTTAATTTATAGGTAATAATACTAGGGCTGGCAAAGGTTAGTATTGCGTCGAGATTTTCGTATGTAAGAAGAGTACAATGCGTTTATAATGTATTGAACAAAGAGAGAACAGTAAATACGTTGCTAAACGTACGAAATAAACCGAGAAACTGTGCACATTGCGAAGAGACGTGGAAGGAGATAGCAGATTTGTCGCAGTTGACCGGTCGACCCAATCTGTCAGTACAAGTTGAACTTATCAGCAAATTTTTGCAGCCAATTTCAAGAATAATTGAATAGCTAACCAAGATCCCAGCCGTTGGCCGTCGAAGCCGCCGGACTTAGTGCCTATGGATCTAATCCTATGGATATCTTTGCGGAAGAATAAAGGTTCTTATTTTTAAATTGCCCGTATAATCTGGACAAGAATTAGAAATACTTAGCAGTTATGAGAAAATATCTTTTACCCCCACTAAGCTAATGAATTCCGCGAGAAATGTTCAAAAACGGCCCCGTCTGTCCATAACAGAAGACTGTCATGTCGATATATCAAACGCCTGTAACAAAATCTCATGTTTTGGTTTGCTATTTATATTTATTGTTATTAGATATAGTTTAAATGTGCTGGTGTTGGTTAAATATAGTTTAAATTGTTATAAAATTCTGCATCTCTCATTGCAAATTTTATTTTCGTTTTAATTGATGTTCAAAAGAGCAAAATATCAAGTGTGCTATATTTTTGGAAAGGACATTTTAAATCCTTTTCAATATAAAAAATCAAATTTTCTGTTGATAATTCTTAAATTTTTAATTTAAAAAAAATTATACTTAAACCATTAAATTCTACGTAAAAAGGTGCTTTGGAAATGTCTTCATAAAAATACAAAAAATTTCATAGCATAAAAGTTACAGCGATTTGTTAAAAATGCACATTTTTGAACCCGTAACTCCGAAATTGTACCAGATATTGATATGCGTTTTTCACCATCATGTTTTTGACAAAAATTGAGCTCCAGACACCGACATTAGTTTTCGTCTATCTCCTATAGAAAAGGGTGTTTCCCTTTAAAAGCGTCCAATTTGGCTCGCCCTGTGCGTTCAGCTTCACGATTTAATTACGTCTCGTGATACTTTATTTGTTTATTTATTAACGAGTCGTAATTTTCCCTATAGCTCGAAAAAATTTAAGTGCAAGCTAGAAACACTTGCATTTTTGGTTCAAATAAGTGGAATTGAGTTGGTGTTCGACAGTGGTCGCGCTATTAGAACTCTGAATTCAAAAATCGATATCCCGAAATCTATTAGAAATAATTGATTGTAGTTTTTTCAAAAACATTCTTAATATTTCTAAATTTGACCCGAAAAGTTATACAGGGTGAGACAAAATTAATATGGAACATTCGTCACTTTTAAAAGCAAGTTACTCCTTTATTTTAAAGGGAACACCCAGTATATTTTTCCGATGTTCAATGGGGAATTTATATATCTTCAAAATTTTATTAAGGTTGCCTACCCCTCAGACAAAGATTTTCCTAGATATTTTAATTTTTATGATTTTGCGTCAGTAGATCTTTATTATTTCAAAAAAATCTAGGTGGCTGTGTGATATACCTTTTGTTAATTTAACAAAAATTAATGATTGTAGAGTAAAATACTCAGCGGTAATAAAAAGATACACGTTTAAAACATATTTTAATTATTACAGAATTAAAACTAGATATAAACCTAGAATTATGTGACAAAAATTAGCTAGATGAAATCAAATGCTCAAAATGCTTCCTTTCCTGTTAACTGCATAAAATGATTGTCTTTTCAAAAAGATCTTTTCATTTTAAAAGGCATTATGTGGAGTTCTACCTCGAAAGGCAGCTACAATAATTTCTCTCATGTTGTTGATAATAGTTGTCCAGTTTTGTAAATACTGTCTCTAACATATCCCCATAAAAAAATCCCAGACTAGATAAAATCAGGAGCACTTAAGTATTCTATTAATTGGTGAATGCCCACTGCATTCACGAAATAATAGAATGATATCAATTCTCTCTGATGTAGATAAGTTTGCATTTTAGGCAAATTTCTGAGAAATATTTTTGTTTTAACTGACACAAAATGATAACTAGTTGTTAAAGTTGGACTAATTAGACAGCTAAGTTGAAGTAACGTCAGACACACAGCCACCTAGATTTTATCAAATAATAAAGATCTACTCAGATCAAATCATGTAAATGAAAATATCTAGGAAAATCTGTGTTTCGAGGGGTAGGCAACTTTAATAGTATTTTGAAGAGAAGAGACATGAATTCTCCATTGAATATCGGAATAATAGACTGGCCGTGTCCCATTAAAAAAACAGAATAACATGCTTTTAAAGGTGACCAATGTTCAATATTAATTTTGTCTCACCCTGTATAACTTTTTGGATCAAGTTTTAATTCGATTTAAAGTACAATAGTTAATTTAGCTACATATTAGGCTATACCGGGTAAATTCCAATTTAGGGAGCTTTTATTGTAATTTAAAAATTGTTCTTTGTTTCTAGAAAATGTTAAATATGTCAAAAACGTTACATTTTAGTCATATACTTCTCTTATATAACATACCTTTATTTTTCTCCAAGAATCCGAAAATCAATTAATATATGGGGTGTTCCATTACAAAAAACACAATGAATATTTTTTTGGAGACACCCTGTAGAACTCTCTGTATTTTTAAAAAGTGCTCTGAACTAACCTACATATGCTCACAAAATTTCATTTCAATACAAACTGTCGTTCTCCTTGGAGCCTCCGCGGCATATGAGAGGCGCCACCCTGTATATTATACCGGGTCTACAAGGGAAAGGTCTTGGGTCGGTGTTTAACTACATGTGTAAAAGTGAGTCGCTATAGCAATCTAGAGATGTGTAATTCGTGAACGAACTAGTCCCAATGAACTATTCCGACCCCGGAACGAAAGGAACTAGTTTACGGTTTCTTAAAAGACTAGTTCCTCAGGACCAATTCGCTCCGCAGTTCCGAGGACCGCGATATAATATGCGATGGCAACGGATCGGCCAACGCGATCTTAGACCGATCACCGCATAAGAAAACCGATGCTAGGCAGGAGTGGGGAGTGGCAACCGTATGTAATCGGTGCCGGCCCGTAAGGACCGAGAGGAACTAAACAATAAAAGATAAAAGACTAGCGATGTTAGGCGGGAATGGGGAGTGCCAGCAGTATGCTGCCGGTCCCGGCCGGCGTAATTACCACAGAAAATTGTCGTGGATACTGTTTTTAAATTTTAGTTTGTTATTTGAATACTTTATAGGAACGTTTCACTTTAGGTCCCTCAAATTAAGAAATATCTTATAAAACGAAGTAGATATTCTGACCTTCCAGATAATAAAATACTTTTAGACATAAAATAAAGAGCTGGAAGTGACAAAATGCAATTTTTCGTAAAATAATAGAGAAAACTTTACCTTCATACTTATTGTTTAGCTTCACCTACATGTGCTCGTATGCTATATACCTATGATATAGTTTGTTAAACTCTGATTTGAGTATCTTTTTTATTTTTTTTTATCTGCAATAAAGCTTACCTATATGTTTTTAATATTCACAATAACACGTCTCGTAATACTTCATACATTATAAAAATCATACAGATCATACTATGAATAGTTCTGACTTATAATGAAACCCATGAGCAAAGGGATATCAATGTTATTCGTCAATTAATGTGAACTAAAGACCTAGTTCAAGGAACTATTCCTCCAGAGGAACTAGAACTAAGAAACTAGAATTCCAACCTCTATGGCAATCTTGTAAGTCGGAGAGAGAAAAATGCAAAGTTTATGACCTATCCACACATATCCCTGCCTACACACGTAACAACTTGCAACACTGTATGCCGCTTTTTATTTTGTCTCATGTCTGTCAACCAGTCATTTATTATTATTTCTGTCCCATGCATTAAGATACAGACGACGAAGATAAAGTGTCCAGGAACTTATAATAGATGATCATAAATTAAAAAAAAAACAATAAAGTACAAAATAAAGACTAAAAACATTATTAACACTGTCTTACCTATAATGATTGCTACTGCAATATAATACAGAGTCTGTGGCTGTTCTCCTGGCGGGGCATATCTGTTTGGTGTAAGAAGTCCTTTTTGTTTCTTTATTACCAGAATTTCTTCTTTTAGGCGAATATTCTCATGTCTGAGTTCACTCTCCAACTCTCGTAATTGCTGAACCTAATAAAAACATTTATAAAGACCGCACTTACAATAATAAATTTAATAAGTTAGCTCTTGTTTTTCTAAAAATAAGGTAAAAAAATGATTTAACATAATTCAACGTAGTATTAAGAGTATTATTATTTTAATTAATTTAACCAGATAATTTTGCTTTCCGTCGTGTTTTATTAATAAATTGTACTGAAAAGGAACTTGTGCAGCTTTTAATTAACATCCTACTAATCAGAGTTGTTGATATTTTTTATGCACTCGCGCCCTAACTCTATACACAGAAACTAGGATGGAACAATCAATAACCAAAATTTGACGTCGAATAAAGTATTTGATTGTTTCGATTACCTAATTTAAACCAGCCGCCTATGTTAAAAAGTTAAATAATGCATTGTTTTACCATATTTATGAAAATAGGTATAGAGTATACTATATTTTTAGAAAGCTATAACAAAGCAAATAAAATAAAATAAATATAATATACAGGGTATTCCATTTGAAAAAAAAAAGTTTGGGTCATATTTAAAGAATGACAGCTCCCAGTGAAAATTTAGTTACGCCACTGCATTTTACATGAAAAACTCAGTGATGGGACTCAGTTGTGTAAATGCGTTGCATAAATTGCATAATGGCATACTGTCGTTCCCTTTGGAGCGCCCGCATCGTATGAGAGGCGTCACCCCATAGAATGTAGAATGAATTGTTGGCAGCTATTTATTTGCTTATTGCCCATTTGAACATAAAACACTTTGATGGCCAAATGGTATGTTTGATGAAGTGGCATACAATTCACCCTTCGATAAGAACAAAACCGGATAATTTCTTTATGATTTAATTATAAATGCATAGTTTTCAGAATTTTCCCTATACTTGTAGCTTGTAGTATAAGAGGGTATTACTGGCCAAATTTCATAGTTCTAAGTCAACGGAAAATACCCTATAAATTTCGATTTACATAATCCAAAGACAAAAGTATGTCCAAAAATACTTAGTTTCGGAGATACAGGGTGTAGAAGTTTCATTTTTATTTCAATTGCTAATTTCTGTCGGTGTCTGGGAGTTTTTTGACATGAGAAAATTGATTTTTATGTCAATATGAGTCCTATTTGTAGGGGGCGCCACCTACATGTGTTTTAACTGTTTTGAGGAGTCAATGACTCCGTCCGTACCTGTATAAAACTACAGAGTGAAAAAATCAAATTTCTCATGTCAAAAAACTCCCAGATACCAATTTTCATCCAAATATTGACGTTACTTCAGAAATGATTTGGAAAAAATCGAAATAAAAATGAAACTTCTACACCCTGTATCTCCGAAACTAAGTATTTTAGGATATACATTAATAACTAACTTTTTTACTTATTTTTATGTGCAGAATATGCTGCCAAAATGTCCAAAACACAGTTCGGACCACCCTGTATATCATATAAATATATATCGTTATCTAAATTAATTTATACAGTAGATAATATAACACATAACAAGAGCAGAAGCAAATTCAAATCATCTTACAGGTATAGTATTTCCGAAGTCAATTGGAAGTACTGAGACTCTTAATTCTCCTGCCCCGATGATGCCGACAAAGACAGTGCTCAAAAAGAGTCCCAATCTATTCCAACTGACTTCTGATAAACTATACCCATATTGTTAAAAACATCTGAAAGGTACCTGCAGCTATTATGTTTATTATTTGTATACAAATAAAACATATTAAGATTTGTAGCTATCTTTCTAGCATGTCTTATTCCCATTTTGGTCTATATTATATATGTCTACTGTAATTTCCTTTATATTTTAACTTGCCTCTTTAGCAGCTCTTTGTAGTTCCTGAGCTACTTCTCCACTAGCATGTGTTATAGGTGCAGACTTGGGAATCTCATTGCCGCCAGTTTCTGAGGGCGCACTTGGACCTTGGGGCTCTCCAGTGATCTTGTGCTCTTCTGGAGGTAGTTCAAAGACACATTTTAATTTAGAATCCATCAGTTGATCGGGACTTATTTCTTTCCATAATGTGTCCAAATAGTCCAAATTCGTCTCAACAGCCTCTGGGGCAAACACTGTTTGTACCATAAACTTATGTTTGTTCTTTTCAGCAGGATCGTACAGAAATGGTTGTAAACAAACTGGAATGATATTTTCATTGTCTTATCTATTTTCTAATGTATTATTTTGAATTATATGTCTTACTTGCAATCTCTATAGTTTTATTGGGTCCAAGAACACCTGAATTGGGTCGGACACAATACTTTTTCGGAGCTGTAGTTTTAATTTTAAACATGACCATTTTCTCTGTAGGATTAGTTAATTTCATATAAGCTGTGACTGGTGTATTAAAAGGTCCTAAAAGTATTAATACATACTATATTACGTGTTTCAACATACTATACATACAAAATAATAATAATATTAAGGTGTTTTCTTTGTTTACTTCCATCTAATTAATAATGATTTGGTCTAAGGTAATATTAGAAATTACATCACTGATACTTTTATAACCATCATTCATTTCACACATCAATGAAACTCATTTTTAAATCATTATACAAAAATTTCTCAGGCAAGAAGGTAAAATACCTATTATTTACAAACTTAATAAAGGTAAAAATGTCTTTAATTTAATGTTTAACTTTTTTAATAAATATTTATAATTAATGAAAAGCAAATTATGGATTATCAATATATAATGGGAGTTACTGCTTTTAATAATATATTAAATGTAGTAAGAATTATAATACTATATATGTTTCCTAGTCATAATTTTATAACCCCAATATTGTACAACAAATTTTACTATAATTAAAGCACATATGTACGTTTTTTTTTTAATTTAATGAAACTGGTTCTGAACAGACTACAACAAATATCTATTTTACCTTGTAATATAAAATACAACAAAGGACTTTGACTTCACCATAATTCATTGAAAATTAATGAATTAAGTAGTTGATTTACCTATATAAGTACATATTAAAATGGTGGTTGAAAATACTAATTGAGAAATAACGTCCTGTTTACAACACTTTCAAAATACATTATTAATAAAATAGTAGGGTATACCAATAGTAGTTCCATTTAACAAGTTAAAACATTGATTCAAGCAAAATCGAAAATTATTTAAATCAAGAGAATACTGTTTCGAACAAAACCCGTTGGATGCCAATATTTGTGGCCGGTGTGGATCTACTTTTTATGTCGAGAATTAAGTGGAGGAACCTCACCTACAAATTTAAGCTCATTTTGGGGCACAATTTGGAGCACTTGCTCTTGCTTCGACATATTTATAATTTAAACACTTCAAATTGACTTTAAACACACTGTAAAACTTAATTTTTATTTTTTGGATGACAGATTCTGGTTATAAAGCAAAATTCTGACAGAAGAGGTTAGACGCAAGCGCAAAGATGGCGGACAATTACGTCCATAGATTAATGTCAATATAAAGTGACATCTTTTAGAAAATTCCGATGTCAAAATTGTTGTCGTTTCAATAAGTATTCATAGATGGCAGAATAAACATTAACATTTTTATTATACAGGGTGGTCCGAATTGTAATCGCGAAACTTCTGTAGAATATTCTGCAGATAAAAATAAGTAAAAAAGGTCGTATAAAGTATAAATTTATGTACTCATACGTTTAGTTTCGGAGGTACGGGGTGTAGTAATTTAATTTTTATTTCGATTTTTTACAAAAATAATTTCTGAACTAAGTTTGATATTGGAATTTGGAATGAAAATTGGTGTCTGGGTGTTTTTTGACATAAGGAATTTGGGATTTCGTTGTCAATATGACTCCTAGTTGCACTTATATGTTTTTTGAACTTTTTGGAAGAGTAATATAACTTTTCGTCCGTACCCGTATTAAGCTACAGATTGAAAAAATATACATTTCTGCCGTTTTTTACATAAAAAAGCGCTCTGGGTAAAAAGCACTACGAGTAATGGTTCTCATGATATTACATCAGGATATTCTCATTATTACCGTATGTTCGAAAAAAAAACGGCGTCAGTGATGGCTATGAAATGAAGATCGCTGTCATTTTATATGTAAATTTATATGGGAGATGTCATCGATCATCATTTCTCAGCCAAATGGACGCAGTTTTTTCTCGATCATACGGCGTACATTTGTTGTGTATTATTGACAAAAATTAAACATATTCACTAGATAGTTTTATTAGACTGAAATAATATATCTGGAATTTTATCGTGGTTCAGCAGACACTGTTTTATCACAATTAAAAAACACACTATTAAAAAAAAGTTATCAAATTTTTCATTTCAGACAAACAACTATGTAGCCAACATTCTTATTTTCAGAAAGTAATGACATGTTTTGATAATTTCCATTCCAAATATCTTGAGAACGGTTACTGGTAGCGATTTTTACCAGGACTTTTTTTCGTAAAAAACGGCGAATGTATATTTTTAGGACCATACCAAGAGGTATGGTAGGCTATTAAGATAGACAAAAAATTTTTTTTTTTTAATTTCACTCAAAGTGAGTTATTTATGGGTCATAAATAACCTAAGAAAAAAAATACGCAAATCTAGTTTTGTGCAAAGGAATATTTCCCAAACCCGAAAAATTAATTTTATCCGATTTTTTTTTGCTTATAGTGTGATTTGCTTGCATTGGTTTCACTCTTTTTGGTTGAATTGGTTTAGTTATTTGGCGAGTTAGTTAGCGTGGTTATTTGGAGGGTGTTAATTCATTGGTTAGTTGGTTTTTCGGGTTTGGGAAATATTCTTTGCTCAAAACTAGATTTGCGTATTTTTTTGACTATTGAGCGTAGCATATACAAGGTGTCTCAATAAAAGTAATGAAGCATTTTTTTTGTGAAACTTAAAACACTCTATCTCAATTTTTTCATATGCAACAACTTATCATATATTGCATATTTTTTTTTTTAGATGTAGAATTAAAAAATTAACATATTTTTATTTAATGTGTTCGATTTTTTTAATTTCCTAATTTGTATTTCATATGGCTCTTTCAATAGTAAAATATAAGGCAGAATATCATAGGTGTGGCTTTGGTAAAAATTTAGCAGGAAGTCTTGAGTCTCTCAAGCATTCCAGACTTCACTATACGGCAAGTGTATTCTACCTATAAAAAGAATCAATTTTAAAACTCAAATAGAAAATTTGACAGAAGCGCTGTGTTACATTTATGTTGTAATGTAGTGTTCGAAATTAGTTAGAAGACATCGAGACATCATTCTCAATCTATAGCTAGATATAAGTACTTAAAATGCACCAAATTCGGGCTTTATATATTTAAAACAGTGCACGAACAATCCCTGTGCCGCATAGCGGTGTCCTGGCAATCCTGCGTCGTCACGAACCCAGTCTGTCTCTGCGATAATTCACTGGATGCACTATACAGCAGCATGTTCCGTGTTGCCTATATTTACTCGCTGCGATTTATTTTACGGCTATAGATTTTACTTAAACGCTCTCTTGTACTTAATTATTTTTTCCTATTTATCTTGCAGTTAAAGTTGATTGATATAGCATGATTTTGAGCCCAGTTTATTTAGCGTTTTTTTTTATTAAAATCAATTAGAATATCAAGGTTTTTTTTAATTTAACTAAGAACAGTCTTCAGATTGTCACGAGACGACAATTCGTGCCATAAATTTTGGTATGACTGATATCGGAGATGGCAAATTACACTCTGTAAAACAGGCCTTTGTACTCTAAAACAGTATGATGAGTTATAATTCAAGAAAGGGGGACACAAAAGATTTGTAAGCCCCCCACCCCCAAACATTCTACATTCTACAAGGAGACTAGAGCAAATCAATGAGTTTAAACATCGACATAAAAAAAAACGAAATTTATGATATTATCCAGAGCTCCAGATATGCATGAAAACAACTGTCATTAACAAACTAGAGGTTTTCGAATGTGACTGTATCCTTAAGATACCTTGGACCGCTAGTCTCACAAATGAGGAAATTCTAATCCGTGTTACCAAACAACATCAAGTGTGCGAATCGATTAAGACAAAAAAAAACACATAGCTGGGGCCGCCTGGGGCATATAATGCGAAACCTAAAATATCAATTTTTGCATCTTTTGGTCGAAGGCACTATCGAATACCGGAGAGGTATCGGAAGTAAAAAAAATGTCTTGGCTGAGGAATGTCAGACAATGGACAAGGCTACAAAATGTACAATCGCTAATACACACCGCCAGGACTAGAAAAGCAATGGAAAATATTATCGCAATCATCCATTAATGGATTTGCATTAGAAGAAGAAGAAATTGAAGTGAAAATGTAGTCTTGTAAGACATTATTTGGAAAGAATTAAACTAGCTTCTTTTTCTTTACTTCTTTTTCTCCTATACTTCCTCTATAGGAGATGCTAGACCTTGTCGTTGGTGGAGAAGCTCCCAGTTGGGTGCCAGGGGGATTCCACATTGGCTGGGTCTAAAGAGCATCTCGCTGACTTGTTCTTGGCTGTAGTGTTGTTGGCCAGGAAATTACACCAAGACGTATAACGATACCGGGTCCCAAGTAAAAGATAGAACATCCCCAACTAAAGCTATTTTGGTCCTAGCCGGTATATCCTAAGGATGGGTTAAAATTTTTATTTTAGATGTTAGCTTCTGGGTAAACTGCAAGACGATAAATATAGACTACTTTGTGACATAAGCTATACTGGACACGGGGTGTTTGGCATCTACCTAAAAATAATCGGCAAAACGGACAGCGACACTTACTTTTATTGTGATGATGTAGATAGCCCCCGTCATACAATATTTCTTTGCACAAGGTGGTAAGCCATAAGCGAAGAAACAGGAGAAATATGCCAGAAGGGCCAGACGAAGTTGGAGGAAAACACAATTGATAATTAGTGAAGATGAAGAAAAGTGCCGAGCCATTATATTAATGCTGTGTACTATTATGAAACATAAAGTAGACGATGATATTAAAGCCAAAAACCCGTGATTTTACTGTGATATTGCCTGCGATAAAGAATTAAACTGTGATAAAAAAACGACTATGATAAGATTAGAATGATAAAGAAGAGACGATATAACTGAGGATCACTTACTATCCCGATGACTTCATGACGATGCTTCACGGCAGTTCCAGGATAGTTAGGGTACTAAGAAAAGATGGGTTTTTAGTGTAGTACTCTGGGTAGAGTAGTGAGGGACATCCCCACACTCCACGGGTAGCTCAGCCGGAGACAAGCTCCTTGATTGTAAAGGACAATCCCCCTGCAACAGAAAAATTTCTGTGTATGATGAGTTATAACTGAAGAAAGCGGGACACAATAGAACTTTAAGGTAGCCAGTGGTTAACCCCCCTCCCACTCATTCTACAATAGAAGATCTAATTATTATTAATTTCAACAGAACAATTAGCTTTTATTATCAAAGTGTTTGTAGAACGAGGCTTCTCTGTACAGCCAGTTATGCATCACACCGGTAAACCGCATTACCTCCAAGCCGTCACGTCATCCTGCCGATAGCTTACGATTTTTGTCTGTCCAAAGCTGTGTGTGTGTGTTGTAGCGCCGCATTGCACGGCGCGCAAGCGTCCGCCTAGGTCCCGCAACCGCCTCCTCCGATGTTGGCGTCTCAACGCGTCGGGACGCCGTGGCCAGTAGCGACGCCGTACACGCGTCCGTCACAAGCGCTCCCGTCACGTAGTCGACGCGATCGCCACCTGTTGGCCGCAGCCACGAAACGCGGCAAGGCGACTATGCGCGAGTAGGACAGAACGTTCGGTTCCGGCACCGGTGCGACAGAGAGAGGGAGATGGAGGGAAATCCGTCGCCGGTCCGTTATGCCGAGGGGTAGTAATTTCCAAAAAAAAATGTTTAATTTTTAAAAATTTAATTGGAGCTCGAACTTCCGAGAATCTCGAGCGCGCTGGAAATATCTTCCATAAAATAATTAAACATGAGAAAAATGTGAAAACTGATACAGCTAGAATGTAAATATACTTGAAGAGAAAACAATAAATTTTCCACCGGGTACCTCACTAGTTAACGTAATTATATTAAAGATACATTTCGTTTTCTTTTGAATACTTCACTAGTTTAATAATTAAACAGTCAAATTTTTCAAGCAATAACTAAAAAAAAAAATTCCAAAAAGCTTTATTGATCTTCAAACTTTTTAGAAATATCTCCTCAAGTTTTAATAAGACTGGAACTAGTGAGATTTAAAAATTAGAAGATATTATAACAAACAAGTCATCCTCCTCTATTTACTCAGCTTAGTTCGTAAAACTGGTCGTTTGACTTACCGCAATAAAAAATCCATATCTGTTAAGAAGAGATCGAGTCATCTTGAAATGGTTTATTAGCTTTAAAGAATTCTAGCTAAATTTTGCTCAACCGCGTTAAGTATTTACGGTACAGTAGAGAGTGCCATAGAATTAAATTCCTTAAATTTAAGACCAATAGTGTTTATCGGCTTGTCGAGTAAGAGTTTTGGACTGCTACAATTACCGTTAAAAATAAATCTTCCATTCGTTAATAATTTAATAAATTAGTGCATATAATTAGAAGTTACTATTTATCGAAAAAGTCTTATTAATATATTCGAGGTAAGTTGTAATAAAATATAGCATAAGAATACTAAGAGTTTTTTGTGCTTGGGATATCAAATTTGTATATTTCTTCATTTAATGAAGAATTGTCTACATTTTATTTTTCACAAAAAATGTTTAATTATTTAAAACTTTAATTGGAGAATCTTGAGCGCGCTGAAAATATCTTCTATAAATAATAAAATAATAAGTACATGAGAAAATGATGAAAACTGATAAGCTAGAATGTAACTATATTTAAAGAGGAAAAAATAAATTTTCCATCGAGTACTATTCACTAGGTAACGTAATTATATCAAAAATAAATTTCGTTTTTTTTTCAATACTTCTCTAGTAAAATCACTATTAAATTAATTTTAGTCGAATTTTTCAAGCAATAACTCGGATTAAACGAGTCTAAAAATTAAAACCAAAAAAGCTTTATTGATCTTCAAAGTCTTTAGAAATATCTCTTTAAGTTTTAATAAGACCTGGAACTAGCGATATTTAAAAATTAGAAGATATTAATCATATAAGTCATCTTCTTCTTAGCTTAGTTCGTAAAACCCTTGTTTACAGTTATTCATAATCAAGGGTAAAACTAAAGAGAGTTTACCATATGATGCAGAACTGTAGATATATAATCCCCGGCACAAAATTCCTTCACCCTAAAAAGTTTGATATTTCATAACTTTTTATTTTGTAATCTGATTTTTATGATTATGGTATCAGGACGAAGATACATTTATTGGCATTATTTTTTATTATTTTAATACCTTATATTCTTCGGTTAGGTGGGTTTATACTGGGGTAAATCAAAACGTTGTTTTTTGGAATAAATTCACACCCTGTGGAAAAAATGAGACGGACATTTTGGATAAAAATACATATCTTCGATTATTCTTAACATTTCATTTTTTTGAATTATCCCATTATCTATTCTTTTATGAGCTACACATTTTTAAGTAAAGTATTGAATTCAGAGGTGATGAAGAAATTAAGTGCAGAAACAACCAGGGAAGACAAGCAATTAGACAACTCAACAGTATTTTATGGGATAAGGCCGTATCAAAAGAAAACAAACACAAAATTTATAACAGCATAGTTAAAAGTATCATTAGTTATGGTAGTGAAGTATGGCCTTTGAAAGAAAGAAACCTTAAGTTACTCGAAGCTACAGAAATGGACTTTTGGAGGCGCGCGGCCGGAAAATCGCAACTGGATAGAGTTAGAAATGAAAGAATTCGAATATCAGAAGACATCAAAATTAACCAACTCAGGTGGTACGGGCACGTACAAAGAATGGAAGAGAACAGAATCCCGAAAAAAATACTCAATTGGACACCACAAGGCAAAAGCAAGAGAGGGAGACCTAGACGGAGTTGGAGAGAAGGAATAGACGGGGACATCAGAACAAGAGGAATAGACGAAAACCTCTGGACAGACAGAGACCAATGGAGACTGGAAATCAGAAGACGTCGAAGAACGTTATAAACTGATTTGTATATATATTGAATTCGGAGGTTCTGAATTGAAGAAGAATATTGATAAAAAACAATAATTTTATATTATTTTAATAGCGTTTATGTCCACCTCTCGCAGCAATAACAGCCCGAGGTCTTCGTCGTATCGAATGAATAAGGGTGTTATTCTTTTTTGATTTATAGCTTGATGATTAACCAACCAAACCAAATCAAGTTATAGATCAAGAAAGAATAACTACATATTTCTTGATATTCATCAATGATGAATATCAAAAAATCAAGATATCAAGATGAAGAAATCCCTTTACAAGAGCTAAAGCTAGCCATAGCTCTTGTAAAGTTTGTGGTGGAATAGGACGACGACGAACAGCTCATTTAAGTTCATCGCACAAATGTTCAATTGGATTGGAACATCAAACTTAGTCAAATTTTAGGGTGGAGGAATCTTATGCCGGAGAGTTTATATGTGTATAATGCTGTATAATATATATTATAAATTTTACTGGTTATATTTTATGTTTGAAATGTATGCTTAATTTATTGAGAGAATTAAAGAGAATTAGAAGCTTATCTTTATCGGTCGTCCCAGTTAGCTCCAGAGAGGGCCCTCTAGATATATTAGAATCTTATCATTGAAATTTTCACAAAAGAAAAGGAATTTTTCTTACAGTTGGGGGTGGTTGTAATCAAAGGTGTTAACGACCCCCAACTGTAAGAAAAAATATTCTAAATTATAAAATTATACTATCCTAAACAAACCTTACTTTTATATTCTTGACTAAATATTTATTAGACCCTTCTCACAATCCCTCTGAGCAGATATGTTCCCGTAATCCCTGGCGACCACCCTAACGCTACTATTACTATTATTTTTTTTTTTCAGAAAATGTATTGTTATATAATAAATGCAGTCCACGTATTTCTATAAACATAAATACAAAATGTCTCACATATTTGGCCAGTTCCATTCTTACTGTGATTTTCATGCCTTGTATTGTTTCTCCTCGCTTCCCGAAGTTTATCAATCTATTTCATTGCAATTTTTCTATCAATACAATCGCAATGAATGTTTTTCGCGATTATATTGATATCAAAATTGCAATGTATGACATAACATATGTCAAAAATTGACATATGATATGTCATTCTATTCAGAGTGTCTTTTTCTATCGAATAAAGTAAAAATATACCGGGGGTGCCCTTTAAATATCAAAAGTTGTAGTAATTTCCCGTGAAACAGGAAGTGACCAAAAACAATTGAATACGTCAATCAATCCTAATTTATGTTATATATTAACATACCAAATCTCGTTTTTTTATCTGAAAAAATAAAACAGTTTTATAGGGGTGAGCTACTTTTGAGACGCGCCCGGTATAGGTATTAATAATTAAAATATGTATTTTAATTAATATAATGTACAATTTAGTTATTTTGATTGAATTTTTCTACTTAAGCCTAAATAATACGTAGGGTTTCATACAAGTTTTTGGAAATTTCGTACAAGTGAGCACCGTAATCCGGACAAAATCCGCGTCGAAAAATAAATTATGAATTTGAATTGACAGTGAGACAATTGTCTGTCATTTTAATTCATAGGTATTTTCTGTCATTGTTTGGATGTCGTCTGCCGATATTCTTCTATAGGAAGGGAAAATTAAAGACAGTTGATTAAGTGTTAAGTATACTATTTTGCTATCTTTATATACCGGGGTGCGCCTCAAAAGTGTCTCACCCGTATAACATTTTAATTTTTTTAGATAAAAATCGAGATTTGGTATATCAATATATGACATAAATTAGGACTGATTAACATATTCAATTGTTTTTGGTCACTTCCTGTTTCACCGGAAATTACTACAACTTTTGATATTTAAATGGTACCCCCGGTGTTTTGTTGCTTTATTCGATAAAAAATGACACTCTGAATAGAATGACATATCATATGTCAACTTTTGATATTTTCGAATATGTTTTTTTTTGAAATTGCAACATGCGATTCATAACGACAATTTGACTCGAAATACCAAGTGTGTGGTACCAAATTATTCATAAAAAAATGCTTTTTCCAAATATGGTAATGAGCAACCCTCGTTCCATTTGAAAAAGTTGAGATATGATTAAAAATACGATTTGGGCATCTTTTAACCGGCCAGGACAAGACACGAATAACATTAGATTATCAAATCTATTTTTCCAAGGCTCCTTGATTAAAAATTAGTGTTTTTAACATAGCCATGGCACTCTAGATTGAAATTTAAAATTCAATTTTGTTTTAAGCAAAAATATCAAATTGACATATGGTATGTCAATTTGATAGTTGACATATGTTATGTCATTCTATTCAGAATGCCATTTTCTGTCGAATAAAGTAAAAAAATACCGAGGGTGTTACTTAAAAATCAAAAGTAGTCTTTTCCGATCAAACAGGAAGTGGCTGAAAAGAATTGAACATGCCAATCAATCCTAATTTATGTCATAATATACACCATAACACACCAAATCTCGTTTTTTATCTAAAAAAAAATTAAAAAGTTATAGTGGTGAGCCACTTTTGAGACGCACTCGGTATAAGATTTACGTTATAAATGACATCAGAATTGGGTTATCCTTCTTTTATAGAAGATAAAATTTTGAGTGTTTTATTACTTAAAGGCTCATTTACATTTGTCACTTTGGATGTACAACTTGGATGAATCATCCAAAGTGATAAGTATAAATTGCCTTTCATCGCTTTTTCATCCAAAGTATACACTAAAATTGAACGATGAAACAAGTTGACGGTCTTCCTACTTTTGTTGAAAGAGCGTTCAACGAACCGTTGATTGATCCAGATTGAACGGCAAGTGAAAAATGTAAACAGCCGACGCCGACTCGTGCGGCCAACCTCGATATAGAAAACACTGTGCAGCCTGCGGAAGATGAAACAGTGAACTGCTGCGAACTGGATGAACATATGTAAACAAGGATGTTCAATTTGGATGAATTCAATCTGAGTGATTCATTTTGGTTGTACATCCAAAGTGACACAGTGTAAACTCTGCTTTAGGCTCATTTACATTTGTCACTTTGGATGTACAACTTGGATGAATCATCCAAAGTGATAAGTATAAATTGCCTTTCATCGCTGTTTCATCCAAAGTATACACTAAAATTGAACGATGAAACAAGTTGACGGTCTTCCTACTTTTGTTGAAAGAGCGTTCAACGAACCGTTGATTGATCCAGATTGAACGGCAAGTGAAAAATGTGAACAGCCGACGCCGACTCGTGCGGCCAACCTCGATATAGAAAACACTGTGCAGCCTGCGGAAGATGAAACAGTGAACTGCTGCGAACTAGATGAAAATATGTAAACAATGATGTTCAATTTGGATGAATTTAGTCTGAGTGATTCATTTTGGTTGTACATCCAAAGTGACACAGTGTAAACTCTGCTTTAGGCTCATTTACATTTGTCACTTTGGATGTACAACTTGGATGAATCATCCAAAGTGATAAGAATAAATTGCCTTTCATCACTGTTTCATCCAAAGTGTACACTAAAATTGAACGATGAAACAAGTTGACGGTCTTCCTACTTTTGTTAAAAGAATTGAACGCTTCATTTTGAACCGTTGATTCATCCAGATTGAACGGCAAGTGAAAAAATGTAAACAGCCGACGCCGACCCGTGCGGCTAACCTTGATATAGAAAACACTGGGAGAGGTGGCAGCCTGCGGAAGATGAAACAGTAGCTTTTTTCGGGTTCTTGTTATTACCGATTCTGAACCGTCCTAGAACTCTGCAGCGCATGCGCAAATGAAATAATGTCTTCATATTTTCTTCTGCGCATACGCATCACAGTTCTAGGACGGTTCAGAATCGGTAATAACAAGAACCCGAACAAAGCGAACTGGATGAAAATATGTAAACAATGATGTTCAATTTGGATGAATTCAATCTGAGTGATTCATTTTGGTTGTACATCCAAAGTGACACAGTGTAAACTCTGCTTTACTTCGCACTTTCGTTTTGGCAATATTAAATGTTTAATATTATTGGTAAAAATAAATATTGTAACAAAAAATGATAAAGGCATGAAATTTGAAATAAAATTTACTTGTGAATTAAAATAAGAGGCATAACTGTCACTGTCATGGATTGTTGGTACGTAATCATTCATAACAAAATAAAGACAAAAAAAATTACAATTCATATCCACCAGAAGAAAATAAATGGAGTAGTAAGTTTTTTTTCACAGAACTATTCATATCAATTTATCATAATAGGTTGAAGAACGCGGTACAGTTTAGCTCTCCTTAATAAATTCTTTTATAAGAAAATTAATTTCAGTAACTAGAAAAACTTAGGTCAAAGTTGTAATAGTCTTGAGACTGTATTTCGTCTATTCCTCATTTCATAATCTATACTAATATATAAAATCCCATGACTGACATACTGATTAATCACGATCCTGCTCAAACCACTCAACGTAAGAAGCTCAATTTTGGCATACAGGTTGATTCTAGGGTGTAGAGGTTCGATAAGGAAGGATTTTTCGAAATTCCAGTTCCAAGAGGGTGAAACCACCCCTCAAATATTACAATATTTTTTATTTAAAAAACGGTCAAGTTTCCGAAAAAACGCTTAAACGCGTATATTTTATTTTCTTTTTTTACATATTTTAATATTTTTAAAAAATGTATACAGGGTGTTTCGAAAAATCTGGTCATTGATTAATCACGATCCTGCTTAAAGCGCTTGACGTAAAAAGCTGATTTTTGGAAAAGAGATTGAGTTTAGGGTGTAGAGGTTCGATAAGAAGGGATTTTTCGAAACTCGAATTCTAAGGGGGTGAAACTATCCCTCAAATATTAAAATATTTTTTTTATTTAAAAACCGGTGAGTTTTTCGGAAAAACTCTTAAACACGTATATTTTATTTTGTTGTTTTATATATTTTAAGATTTTTTATAAATATATACAGGGTGTTTCATAAAATATGACCATTGATTAATCACGATTCTGCT